ATCTAATGTCCGCCTAGTCTCTTACGTTTCCTGTTGAGTTCCATAGCATTCTTTAACTGGAGCTCATACATTCTGTTTCTCCTCTGGTAGAAAACATATTCTGGGTCAACTCCTGTGTTCGCGTCATCTGCATAAAGTTGTTTATATCCCACTTCAGGGTTTGTATAAAACTCTTTCCATCTCATATTTGCATACCATGGTGGCAAACCTAACGCAGCGTCATTTGACATGGCAGTTTGCATTTGTACATCTGTTGGCACTTGACCATAGTTTGCCATTGCAGTTTGTATTCTAACTTCATTTGGAATATTCTCTGGGCTTGGTTGTCCAGGTTGCTGTGCATTCGCTAAGTTCTGTGCGTCCATTTAATATTAGATAAAAATATCTCTTACGAGTACATATACTGAACATTTGCAGGCATTGGTTCATCTTCATATTCTCTGTACTTTTCTGCCACGTCAAATAAATAAATGACACAATGGAAAAAACCTAAAACAAGTAGTCCTATTTCAAACCACATTTACTTACTAATAAAATTTCTTTATTGTGACACTTTCTCCAGTTTATAGGACCTCTCTCATATTCTATCTTGTCATATTTAAACACATAGTCATGTATGTCCTCTAACCATCTCATAACGGTTTCCAAACCACTTTTATCGGATGTAAAGTAAAAGCATGGATGGTTATGTATAACGTCTAAAGTTTCTAAAGAGTCTCTCAAAGTCCAGTCTACTTGGTATTGAAAATCCCATGTGTTAAAGAACGGTGGGTCCACTATAAAGAAAACATTTTCCTTGTCTTTATATTTTTCATACAACTCTGTCCAACGACATCTCACAAACTCTATACCCTCAATATATTTTTCTATGTTCTCTTTGAAAACATTTGTATAGTTAAGATATAAAACTTTTGACATAAGTGTTTCAATGTCATGAACTCTTATAGTACCACCATATAATAGTCTAGCAGATATACTATCCCAGTCTATATATTCTGCTTTTTTCAAAACCTCTCTCACAATATTTTTCTTATCTAATGGTATACGTTCCATCTTACCTATAGGTATCTTTTCTTTTAACTCTTTCAATATGTTGTTTGTGTCTGGAATATGTTTGAGACGGTCCATATAGTTGTCGAAGTCATTGCATATAATCTTTGAGTCAGGAAATACGGTATGACATAAATGGGATATATAGAAACTTCAACCGAACAAATCTACAAATGTTAGACCATTCGGTAGTTTCTTAAGTTCTCTCAATATAATATCTTTACATCTACTCTTATTTCCAAAGAACGGTAACGGTGGTTTTGTAAAATTCATTTATATATAATAATAAAAATGTTTTTACCCGAAAAGTGACAGAAAAGTGACAAAGCATGAAAACATATATAATTTGTGAAAAGCGACACATTATATAATGTTTTCGACCCAGAAGACTAACAATTTTCCGAATAAAAACTTCATTTATACTAAACATCTTCGGGGCTAGAGGGCGCAACGCGCCTGGAAGCCCTCCAAATATAAACTTCATTTATACTAAACATCTTCAGGGCTAGAGGGCGCAACGCGCCTGGAGGCCCCACTACCTTTTTTTTTGTTCAAAATATGAAATTATGCATAGGATATTAAAATTTACATGTTAGCAATTTTTTTGAATTGCTTTCAATTTTCATATTGAAATTTTTCAGATTTTTTTCTGAAATAATAAGCAAGAATATCAACCTAAATAATATTAAATTCCATGCGTTAATTTCCCCTCAAAAGTCATTGACCGCCTCTCAATCTAGATTTTGTGAGTACTTTATATATACAAACACCTGGACACATTTCAAAAAGCATTGTAGAATCTGATTTTATTTCTATATTTTATAAAATTAATATATGTTTGTATGGGAAATTCGGGAGATTCAAAACTCAAAAATTAAAACTCGATAATTTTAATATATCTTGATTCACATTTGTATGTATATTAGTATTAACTTATTAATATTTATCAACTCCATGATTCAAATTTATTGATGTCAATAAAATTCATTTATATTATGAATATTAGACTATGTATGGTATGTGAATTCTGGTAACATTAAAATCTCATATACTGGCAATTTGGCACTTTTTGTCACTTTTCTTGAAATTTTGGATTTTCCAAACTCGATTTTATTAATTGTTTTAGAATGCCGATATAATGTATAATTTATTTGTCCAATCAAATTTTAAAAAAGTTCAGTATTTGCCGTTTTAGACTTCAAGCTCGCGACACATTAACCGCTTTTTTAAAAATTGAGACTGACAAAAGGGGGGAACTCATTTTTTAGACCAAAAAAGTGGCACCTGAGTGTATTGTTTCTGCTTTATCTGATCATTGAAGCGGAATTGATCCACATTATTAGTATGAAACAATAATATACTAGGGACTAAAGAATGTTAATATTACAAAAACCCAATTATTCGATGTTCAACTCATCATATCTTGCATTAAAGTTCATACCTTTATTTTTTCGAAATATTACAACAGTAGCAACCTTACGTATTACCAATGATAGCCAGAGTACTATTTTGGCATAAAAAATTTAAAACGATATTAAAACAACAGATTGACTAGTCATTCTGGTATAGTATTATGCATACTATCAGGTGATATTTTCTCAAATATCTTAGCTTAGCTTCCGTTTGATTATGAGATACAGATCTAATGTTGCTTATTTTATAGCCATAGTCACTAACTGATAACATTATTATGATAAGAAGACTAAATGTACGAGTTTAATATACGTTTGATTCAGATTTATTATCGAAATACAAATCACAATATATATCTTGAACTCATCTGTGAATAAAATCATGATATTATTGATTGTTTTCTAGATATTTACAATATTTTCTAAACATGTGAAGATAATCCTTAATTTGAACCAGAAATACTTTTACATTACTAACAATGGATGGTTATCTATATAGAATAATATATTATTTTTGATAGTAAACTATGGCTGATTTATAATTTTGTAATATATACTTCTTTTCTATATCTTTGAAAAATCGTTTTATGAATTTGCTGTATAATTGATATATTTTAGTAGAAAAATTATAGAATAACAAAAATAAAAAGGTTTTATCGATTTATAACACAATGAAAATGGTTTATTTCTCTCTAAATTATAAATTTTCAAAAAAATTAACCTCATTTTTCCAAAAAAATCGAGAATTGAAAAAAACGTTATCATTTTCTAGAAATTTGCTTAGGCTTTTTCTAAAATGGAAAAAATTTGGAGAAATTTACCAAGGATAACTTCATTCTAGGTGTCCAAAGCAATTGCTATCAGTCAAAAAAACCTCGAAAATTTTAAATATTGATATCGATTTTCATCAAACACTTAAAATAGATTGTTTGCAGTCGATATCATCACATATTATTAAATTCTAATATACTTGAACATACTACAAATCGTTTTTGAAACTTATCAACAATTCGCGCAATTTAACAAAACTCCAACTCTCATATACAGTTCCCATTACCACAATCCCATTTTAAGAAGAAATGATTAATAAAATCTAAGATCTAACTATTTATTTACCCAATTCGAATAATATTTTTTAATTATAAATCCTTATTTGTGCATGTTTTATATACAGATGTAGAAATAAAAACGAATAAAGTGTTACTTCAAAAAAATACCTAAAAGCATCCTAATCAATAAACAATTTACTTTTTTAGCATCGAATTTTGCTCGTCTTGAGCCATATTTTTCGTTTAATTTTCATAATACGATAAAACATATGCGTAATCAAGTAAAATATGGATATTTTAGAAGATTATAATATATCTCGAAATCAAACGAAAGCCATTCTGTGAGTCCATACACACTATTACTATACTTCATATGTCAAGCATAATGGGAACAATTTTGGTCGATACCTTTGTTGTCAACGAAGTTCCCCCCTTTTGACTGACATCTCTAAAATCTTCTAAAAAATCCAAATATCTAATAAAATCATATCATTAAAATTTCTCTCAATTTTATAAATTTTTATAAATTGAGACTGACATCTCTAAAATCTTCTAAAAAATCAAAATATCAAATAAATTAATATCATTAAAATTCCTCTCAATTTTAAAATTTTTTATAAATTGAGACTTAGATCTCTAATATCTTCTAAAAAATCCATATCTCACAAAAAACTAAGTTTTATTTTCACATTCAATTTCCCAAAAAAAATCTTTTTACATAACATCAAGGCAAAAATTTGAAACGAAGTTTCAAATTTCTCAAGCTTGCATTCTGGGCACTTACGTGCCCAGAATGCTAAAAGGCGCGTAGCGCCGTCGCTGAAAATCAAATTTATTATAATAATTATTTTATTATAAATCGACATATTATAACATACTGGTGCAATACGTCAATTTATTTCACCTCTAAATCCAAAATACTTCAAATGAGATCACATTACAGTCTTGTCCAAAATGATATGAAACATCTAAAGTATCTAGTCCAAATTACATAATATCCGGACATTTTAGAATCAGAAAAGAGTAATATGAGTCACAAATATAAATCCTTCCTAAGCCTAAATTTCATTGTAAGACCTCGTAAGGATTATTGCTTCGATTGAGTAAGTTTATATCCCTAATATTTCATGTATGAAAATGTAGAAGCATGGCTCAAGAAAACAATTTTGTTCATCTAATATCTCAAATAATACAATAATGATGCAGTCGAAAACCTATATTACAGCAACTAAAGATGCAAATATATTGTGTTTCTGATTTGCAAAACACTTAAAGAAGATCTTGTGGAAATCTGACTTCGAAATCACTCATTTCAATGAATGTAACAGCTATATGACGGACTAGATCAAGTGCTGCTTAGGATTCCAGCAAACGGAATTTCAGTGATTGCCCATACAAATAAAAAATCCACTCTGTCAAATTTTATACTTTACATGTTGTCAAATTTGTAAAATTCAAAATTTTTCTTTAGGAAAAAAATCACAATGATATGAGTCTCTCTGAATATAAGAAACAACTTAAAGATTGCTTATTTGAGAATGACTTTAAAACACTTGAATCATTGATGTGTACCCAAAAAAGCGAAGAAGTAAAAGATTTAATAGATTTATTCAATACGCCGTCGCAATTTTCTTTATTTACGAACAACAAGTACAAAGAACTTCCAACAGAAGGATTATCGTTAGTTCATATTGCTTGCTACTTAGATTCCGTAGAATGCTTAGATTCTTTAAAAAAAATTTACAAAGAAAACCTTTCAAACATCACAACTGCCAAAAATACCAATAAACCCGGCATAACAGGTACTTACAAACCAATTCACTATGCTGTATTGGGCGGTAGTGTAGAATGCGTTTATTACTTATTAAATGAAGGAATAGACCTGAATGAAGTCATAAAAGACACAAGATCACCACTATACATCGCTATTGTCAACAATGACCTTGAAATGGTCGAAACTTTAATAGATAATGGAGCAGAAATTCCTCCATACCAGCCACAAAATATTTTCGATCCAATTAAAACGGCCACATTAAGTGGAAACTTCAAACTTTTAGAATATCTACTTAATAATTACCAACAAACAGAAGGAATTTTAACATCTGTTGTTACATTAGCAGTTCAGCTTAATTTAACAACTGCAATACGAGGTTTGATCGAATGTGGTTCATTTGACCCTAATTATGAGAATCCAAATGTCGAAGGACCTTTAATTGCCGCAATTAAAAATAAGAATTTGGAAGTTATCAAGATTCTCTTAGAAAAAGGTGTAGATGTAAATATACCATTCGGTTATGAAAGAATACATCCAATACATTGCGCAGTTTTATTCAAAGATATTGAAATTATTGACTACTTACTCAGCCATTCTGCTGATCCTAATGCTGCTGACTTATACAAGAACACACCGATATTCTATGCGTTAAAGTTAGGTATTGAACAAAATAAAAATAATGGGAAAATTGATTTTCCTATAATTGAAAGAATAATAGAAATTCTTATAAACTATGGAGCAGACATTAATCTAGGAAGAGAATCAAAGCAAACTCCGCTTCAATTTGCTTTAGATAGTCCAGAACTTTGTCAAAAAGATTTTATTAATTTTCTAATCCAAAATAAGGCAGATCCTGATGCTCCATATTATGTAGTTGATGTTAATGATCCCCAAAAATCAGGATCTAAGTATTCAATTAAGAATTCAATTTTATATAATATGATTCAAGTTCCAAATGAAATTTCAAATATTTTCAATCCGAATAAGAAGGAAGAGAATGAAAATAAGTTAGAAAAAGAAAAAGGAAACAAATTTGTAAAAGATTTTAAAGATTTATTCAAAAATCTTAAAGAAAAATCAGAAAAACAAAAACAAGACAAACCCGAAAAGAAAGGTATTCTTGGATCACAATCCGGTGGCATGCCATCAAAAATTATGCAGCTTTCTTCTAAATTTAAAGAGAAACCACTTCAAACTAATCAATCAGTTCAGCTAAAGCCATTGAATATTCATACAAATAATAATAACAATGGTCTAATTCGTCAGATTAGTACACCACCAAATATAGATGCATTACAAGGACAACAGCTTTTGAATAAGATTCAAAGACAAGGAACGAAAATTGAAAGACTTGGATCTAAGTCAAATCCTGTTCAATTTATTAATGATCAATTTGGTTTGCAGTCGAATCAGCCACAACAAAATGGTCATTACACACTTGGCCAGCCACTCAAAGCGATGCAAGATAAAGGAATCAATGGATCACAATTAAATCCACAAAATTCTTTATTCCTAATGAATCAACAACAAAGATTGCATTATATGGCTAATCCACAAAATATTCAGTCATATCAGAATAATAATGGCTTGCAAATGAGACAATTTAATCAAGGATTACAAATGAGTCAGCCAACCCAGAGTTTGCAAACGATTCAACAACAAAGATTACAACCGAAACAGCCAACACAAGGATTACAAATAAATCAATCACCCCGTGGATTACAAATGATTCAACAACAAAGAATGCAAATGGGTCAACTAAATCAAGGATTACAAATGAGACAACCAACTCAGAACTTGCAAATGAGTCAACCAAATCAAAGTTTACAAATTGGTCAGCCAAATCAAGGATTACAAATGAGTCAGCCAAATCAAGGATTATTACAAATGATTCAACAGCAAAGAATGCAAATGGGTCAGCCAAATCAAGGATTATTACAAATGATTCAACAGCAAAGAATGCAAATGGGTCAGCCAAATCAAGGATTATTACAAATGATTCAACAACAGAGAATGCAAATGAGTCAGCCAAATCAAGGATTACAAGTGAGTCAGCCAACTCAGAATTTGCAAATGAGTCAGCCAAATCAAGGATTACAAGTGAGTCAGCCAACTCAAAGTTTGCAGTTGAATCAAATCAGAGATCAAATTTTGGGCCAATCACAGCAACATAATCAAAATATTCCTCAAATGTTCCAACAAGGATTTCTTCAACAGAGACAACAAAACCAATCTCAATTTGAACCCCAATATAAGCAACAGCAAGTCATCTATTATCAGATGATGCAGCAAAAATAATTTTGTTAAAAACTTTTTCCAACTATATTTTATATAGAAATAAAACCTTTGTTAAATAGTAATAACTTTTTTCGCCTTCAAATGATTTTTTTTTATTGGAAATTCTTGAAATCTCCAATTCCGTCAATGAAAGATGTATAAATCCACTATTAGGAAATTTTGAAGATATAATATTATATAATAATGTGTGGAATAATATGTAGGCATTATAAAAATGATACTTAAATAATGGCTATAATGTATCCCAATATTTGATAGTTTGATCGCAATTAGTGATTGTGTTAATGTGGAGACAGTAGGTCTTGGAATTGTGTAAGCATCTAAATTTAAACATTGAATGTAAAGATAAATTGAGAAATTTTAGATATATATATATTCATTATAAACGATTATGAGTTGGTACCTAAGGCGTTATAGATTAATTCCATGAATTGATAAGGAAATCGTATATGAAATTTGATGGAAAAAGTGACAAAATGGGAGGCGATTTATCAGTTGTTGGCGAGAATCCTTCAACTCAACCAGCACCATTAATCAACTATATTCAACCTATTGAAACTTATGATCCACGAGAAGTGATATTTGATTCACCTCTTGGAAATATTACGCTAATGATCAACGAAAATGAGAATGATTTTAAATATTTTGTTAAAACGTTAAATATAGATCTAAGTCAAACTCAAAATGCATCAAGATTTTTCAAGGAAGTTCAAAATCTCTCGCTTTCATATTTCCCAACTATTTTACCTTTCGCTGGCTTTACAATTTCCAATCCTCACAATGGAAGAAAGCCTGCTGTAGCATTTGATCACTATTCTGGGCAAAAACTCTCAGAAATTTTAGAATTAGAAACAAAAAATCAATCTCCAGAAACATGGGACTTAACAATGAAAATCCGCACATCTCTTGGTGTTGCCTTAGCTTTGAATTACATGCATGGCTACCGTTGTCCTCACGGAAATTTAAATGCAGATAATGTAGTTTTCGGAGATGATTTCTGGCCATATCTTACTGACTTTTCTCTTAACAACTTCTACGACGAGAATACAATCAAAAATTTAGTTCCTGGAGAAAATCATCCAATTTGGAAAGCTCCAGAACTCGAAGGAGAGACAGCTAAGACACAGAAAGGCGATGTATACTCTTTCGGAATGCTTGTTTTCCAATTATTCATCGGAAAAACTCAATTCGATATTATTTCCAATACTCCCGACATTTACCAGAAACTTAAGAGCAGCACGAGACCAAAAATACCAGATAATGTACCTCTCGAGATCAAAAACATCATACAATCATGTTGGGCCCCAAATCCAAATGATCGACCAACAATGTCGAACGTCATCAAACTTTTCGAAGAATCCATTGGCGCAATACCGAACATCAACCTCAGCTTACTCGAAAAATTCCGTGAGCGCATCAAAGCGGAGAATTCCGACATCTCAAAAGCGCACACCGCATTAACTGTCGCACAATCTGGCGATGCATCAGCGCAAAACAATTTCGGAGTTATGCTTTTGAATGGCAAAGGTGTTCACAAGAATCTTGGTGCCGCAGCGAGGTACTTCCAGTTATCAGCGGACCAAGGATCGATGGAAGGAATGCACAACATTGGCTTTGCGTTAGAAAACGGCGCAGGAGTTAAAAAGAACTTGCCTTTGGCCATTCTTTATTACAAGGCAGCAGCAGACAAAGGATCCAAAGCTGCACAGAACTCATACGCTCAATGTCTGATGAAAGGAAATGGAATAGAAAAGAACATCCTTGAAGCAGCGAAATACTTCAGAATGGCCGCACAACAAAACTCAGCTCCTGCTCAATACAGGTTAGGTTATTTGCATGAAACAGGTGAAGGAGCAGCTATGAACTATAATGAAGCATTAAGATACTACAAAGCTGCTTCTATCCAGAAATATCCTCCTGCAATGTATAGATTTGGTTTGATGATTTTGAATGAAAAAGTGACAGGTCAAAATGTTGCTGAAGCCAGGAAATCTATTATGACAGCTGCACAAATGGGACATGCCAAATCATGCTGTCTTCATGGAAGTGCTTGTATAACAGGCGATGGCGTAACAAAGAATGTTGATTTCGCAAGAAAAATGTTTGAAAAGGCAATTACAAAGAAAGAACCAGCTGGCTATTTCGGATTGAGTGTTTTGTGTTTGTTGGATGGAAAGATTGAGGAGGCAAGAAAGAATATGAGACTGTCTGCTTTAGGTGGTTATTGTGATGCAATTAAAGTCTGGTTGAATGTTTCTGAAGATGAAGCAGAAAAACAAAAATTAAATGAAGAATTACAAAAAATTGGAGACATAAAGGACTCTGTTGTACCAATACCTTCTGTATTTAAAGGCTCTAGTATAACCCCTACAATAGAAGGCGTTGCAAATGCGCTAAATGTTAAGTAAAATTTTAATAAATTTTAATTGTTATAATAAACTGGTAGTTTTTAATATTAACTAATAATTTAGTCATAATATTACTCTCTTTTAGCATTTTAAGAATACATTTTTGAGATTTCAAATAAATTTTTTTTGTTATTTTGAGTTTTGAATTGTAATTCTTATTTCGATTATCACAAAATTAGTTTTGTGTGAATTTTCATCTATCAATTATAGATAAAAACAATATTCTGTATATTTTCCCTATTATCAAGAAATGAGATAGAATTTGATTCATTTATAATGGAATATATTCTTAGATTATTAAAGCAAACACAATATTTATTCACAAATATCTGATAATATATATAAAAAGAATTAATTATAATCATGAGGATTTGGACGTTGAGCATTTGACATCTTAGGTGTTCTTGGGAACCTATTTGGATCTAATTGTACAAGTAGTGGGTTACCACTTCCTTTCTGTCTATTTGGAGTAGCGCTATGTGCAGCTTGTTTTGGTGGAGCTGGAATAAGTTTCTGTTGATGAGCTTTTATCTTATTCCTTCTTGCAACGTGGAATTTATCAGATAGTAACTCTATATGAGCACCCGCTTCTCCTATTTTTTGGTCCATTTCTATAAACTTTCCTTCAATTATCTTCGCAAGTTTGTTCAAGGATTCATTGAAATGATTTTTGTTTATACCAGAAATTTCGGATTCTAAAATTCCTGCGAAAGTCTTTAAGCCTTTGTAATCACCATTAACTATACTGCTTGATATGGATTCAGCTTCATGGCGCGTATTATCTCCAAATGATTCACTCTTAGAAACATTGTTTAGGAACAAAACAACGCAGTGAACTAAAGAAGAATCAATGTTTCCAACTTGAGCAGCTAATTGCGCTCTCAAGTAGTTCTTCTCTTTCTCAAGCATCTTAATGATTGTTTTTTTCTGTGCAATTGTTGATTCAAGTCTTAATGGCTGTAAAATTGTTGATTCTTGTTTTTCTTTCAAATCCGAAATTGTACCATTCAATTTCTTATTTTCAATTTCTAATTTCTTCAAGTTAGAAATTGCTGCAATTGCATCTGCAGGATTCGAAACATTAAGAAGTTGTTGAATGCAAGTAATGTTTGTTTGAAGAGATTGTAAATCTCTTATTTCTTTGTCTTTCTTGGTTGAGTCAACTATGCATTTTGAAAGTCGTTCACGAGTTCCTTGATGCTCTTGAACTTCTGCGTATAACAAGGCTTTTGTTTCATCTAATGACTTTGTGAGTTTAATAACCTTTTCATTGTATTCTTTCGTTATATCTATGTCAGCGCTTTTGATTGATTTAGAGAGAATTTCTAATTCTTTTTGATGTCTTTCATTTGATTCTGACAAAGCATCATTTAATAGTTTGACTTCATTCTTCAATGCACTGTTTGCTGCTTGTAATTCTTCATTTTTATTTGTAAGATCGAAAACAATTTTCTGTTCTTTTACCAAATCATTGTTCAATGATACAAGAGCCATGTTTGCTTTCCTTACTTCAATATCTGCTTTTTCTTTGGCTCTTTCATCAGCTTCTTGGAGATTAACGCTTTGTACTTTATTGTTTTCTTCGAGATTAAGGATCTGAGATGTCATTTTTATAACTCTTTCATCGTATTTTGCGTTTTGTTCTTTAAGAGATGTCAATTCTGATTTAAGTTTTTCGTTTTCGGAATTCGCTTGATTTAAACTTGCAGTCAAACGAGTTATTTCGGAATTTCCGTCAGCAAGTTGTATCATATATGTATCTAGTTTCTTTTTAAGAGTGTCCAATTCATCACCAAAGTGTCTTGACTGAGTATCAATTTGTGATTGAAGTTTTTTGATGTCATCGCTATGTAATTTCTTCTCTTTTGCGAGTTCTTCGCTCTGTGTTTTCATTTCAGCTGTTTCAAGTTCTCTTAATAATTCATTTTTGTCATCTGTTAACGATTTGATTGTTAATTCCTTGTCAGTTAATTCTTTTCTTAAATACTCGAGCTCTTCACTAACAGTTGTTGCTGAATGAGTTGCTCTTTCTTGCTTTTCATAGGCTTCCTCTGCTTTAAGCTCTAATGCATTGTTATTTTGTTTATATTTCTCGAGTTGAGCTTCTAACTTGGAAATTACTTGGTCTTTAGAATCAATTATTGTGTTGTATCGTTGTAATTCTTGATTAAACTCTAATTGAAATTCATCAATTTTTTCTTGAATTTTTTGATCAATTGCTTCTTGTGAATTTTGAGAAAGCATAAGCTCTTGAGAGTAAAGCTTCGTTCTTGTTTCTTCTAGAGATTGTTTAAATTTACTTGAAGATTTTTCCTCTAAATTTAAGCGATCTTGTAATGATGAGATATAATTTTCTTTCTCACTTAGTAGTGCCTTTAAATTTTCATTTGAATCTAATTTGTCCTTTAATTCTTTATTAAGAGCTGAATTTTCATCATTTTTTTGATCAAGCTCTGCTTGGAGTGCTCGGCAGCGTTTAGTAAGTTCGACTAGTTGTTTTTGCTTGTCATTTGTTTCATCAACTTGTCTTTTATATTCCGAATTGGTAATTGTATATTCTTTATTTTTGTTTTGTAAATTTTTCTGTGTCATATTTAATTGCATCTGAAGTTGTGTGGTCGAATCAGTATAATCATTCGTAAGATCAAGTATTTCAGAATTAAAAAGCCCAGAAATTCGAGCTAATTCTAATTTTAACTGCTCACACTCTTTTCTACTCTCATTTAACTCTATTTGTAAACTCTCTGTGTTATTTCCGCTATTATTATATGTAATTTGTTCTTGATAATTCTTAGAGATGTCTTGTAATTGTAATGTAGCGTTTAATAGCTTTTCTCGCAATTCTATGATTGTATTATCTTGTTGTTGCTTTTCTGTTTCTAAATGATTAATATAAGTTTGTAATTCACATATTTGTTGATTCAAAGGACCGAAATCCTTGGCCATTTGAAGCTCGTTGTTGTTTGTCGAACTACTATTATTCCTGAATTTCTTATTTTGATCCATTAAAATCTATAAAATCTGAGCAGCCGTTTAAAAATTAAAATTTACTAAATTTTTAGCTTTTCTCGAAGTTCTACATATCATTTTTTCAATATTTTACTGCATAATGAATAAGATGGATCGCAGAAAAGGTTTTATATATCGTATTTGCTCCATTTATCAACCAATGAATGGAATGAAGTCTACAAATCGGATTATTCAGGCGAAATATACAATAAAAATAGGAAATACGTAGGAAATAAAGGAGACTTTTATGTGTGTAAAGTCTATTTCACAGGTCTTGGCGAGGAAGGAGTTATTGTTCTTGATTCTGATAATACTAAGTCACTTATTTCAACGAGCACTTTCCAAAACTCATCTAGAAATGGCGATGGTGGATCTATTTACATCTATAAAGGCCAAAGTTCTATTCGAAAAGTTTGCAGTTTTGGATCTGAAGCGACTACAGATGGAGTGTTTTGCTATATTTGGGTGCCAGATGATCCCACAGCAGTTAATGAAGCTCGTGATTCATCGGTGACATTTAATAATCGAGGAACTTGTACTGGAAGAAATGCAATTATGATGTATATGGGAAATATTTCATTTTTGCAAAACAATTCCACGAGAAATTATTGCAAAGTTAATACTGTTGCAACAGCATTTGGAGAAGGAACATCTTCAATAAAATATTCAATTATTGATGAAAATTATGCAAACTCCAGAATTTGTATTTCAGCAGGCACACAATCGAAATTTGACAGCATTGTTTTCACAAACAACACTCTTTCTACACCTGATGGTGTACCTCCTTCAATGATTTGTTGTAGTGGTAGTGGTGATGTTACTTTAGAAAACTGTTTCATTGCAAATAACAAACAAAATGGTCAATATTTGTTCGGAATTAGTTATGAAGGTTCAATTACAGTATCTAATTCATATATTGATACTACAGAACTATTATATGAATCAGGTCAAAATGTAAAAATTGGACCAAACAAAGAAGGTTCACTTGAACTTCATTTTCTTTCAACAGAACTCTGTCCAGGAGGTGACTATTTTGTTAATTTTGGCAAAGGGAATAAAGTCATATTCACGGAGCTTATTCATCTTCAAGGTTTTGAAGAAAGTATTGCTTCGATTGTTTCTTAATTTTTTTTTTTTTTTTGTGTGTCAATATTCTATGAAGAAATATCCTTCACAGTTGAGTTGACTAGAATTCTTTGCTTTCCTGAAGTCTAATAGAATGATTGCAACATTTTAATACCAAAATTAAAATTATGGTATTGATAGCTTCGTAAATTGCGATTAGTATCATTGTGTTGCTAGAATTATATATAAGCGATCTGTAAGATGATGTTTTTCTTAGCAATTTTTAAATTTTTGCATTATTTTGTATGATTTACTGATTTCAACGATCAAAACTTTGAACTATAGTATTGTAAACTATTAATGCAAATCCTATAAGGCCGAGGATAATTCCAATTAGGAGGTAGAGTAAATTTTGGCTTCTTTCTTTTTGTGAGATCCCTAGATTTGCAATTTTATTAATATGAATTGAAATGTTTTGATCATTATCTAAGTAGTTCAAATAGATATCTTTTTTTGAAATAATTATTTTATGAATTAGTGAATCAGATGATGAATTGGTTTGAGTTAGTGTTTTCCTTGTTTTATCGGAATAACCAACATTATTTTGTATATATATTTGGCGAATCGAATTTTTCCATCTGAAATCAAATGAGTTTGAGTTTGTTTGAGTCAATTCCATTGATGCAAAATAAGAATTATCGAGATTTGTAAAGCTTTTTGTTGATGAATCGAGCCATAAATTACAAATTAATGTATCTTTGGTTTTATAAATGAAAGAGCATACGATTTTCTCGCATTCATCGCTTTTAGTACACTTTGATCCATCCCAGTGTCCTGCAATATCACCAAAAGTTAATGAAGATACAGATAAAAGAAAAACATTGAGCATTTATTGATTTTTTATTCCCAATTTCATTTTCATATAGCTTTTCTTTCACTGTTTTCTCCCTATAAAGTCTGTTAACATTATTTCTTATCAGACCTTGTAATGTTGTATGATGATTTGTAAGCAGTAATGGTATTGATTTTAAAGCCTATATACCAAAATATCTTGTGAAATCGACATATTTTTATTTGAAACCTTGAAAATTTGGATATTATTATCCATGTGCTTCTCATTTTAGATTTGCATATGTAGCTAAACTGTTTAATACTGATAATGGCCACTAATTGATAACTTTATATCTTTGATAATCTTAAAAATGCTCATACTTGGCTATTAGATATGAGATGCTTTATAAATTGTCAAATATAGATAAAATATGATATATTTTTCAAAAATAATTATTTGCGAACGAAGAAAAAAAAATATTTTTGAAGAGGTTTGTTTGAATATTAAAATGGCGTCAACTCTATTAGGAAAGATTGAAAAAGATCCGGATCACCAGTTCTATCAAGGAGAAACAGTTTATGTAATTGATGCAGATAACGACTTTGATATTTACAAGGCCAAAATTGATCACATTTTCACTGATTCAATCAAGGTTTATTACCCAGATTATGAAACAGACGAAATTATTATGAACGATGCTAAAGATAGAATCTTACCAGATACTAGGAAAAATAGAGCCGAATTTGAGCGCCAAGATAAAATTCGACTTAAACAAGAGCGTTTAAACCAAGACTCTGACTTCATTGATGACAGTGATGAAAGTTTCGGAGAATCCGATGATGATGAAAAGAAGAAGAAGAAAAAGAAGAAACAACAGCCAAAGAAGAAAGCCGCACCTAAAAAGAAGGAGCCAAAACCACCAAAAGAAAAGAAGCCTAAAGAGAAAAAGCCTAGAGAACCTAAGAAGAAGAAAGAAGCTAAGGAGAAGAAAGAAAAAGAAAATAATATCATCAGGCGTAGCCCAGACTTCAAATATCTTCAAGAAGCTTACGAAAATGGCCTTCGTGATGAAGAATCCTTCCTCCAATGGCTTGATAACAAGACTGATATACCAGAAGGAACCAATTTCGAAAAACTCTCCAAACAATTCATTAGATACGTCGAAACTACTGCCAAGGGTGATGATTCAGAAAGCTCCGACTATTATAGCGAAGATGATACTCCAAAGGTATTTACAGAAGAATACTTACATAAGCCACATAAAGAAGAAGATCTTCCAATGACCGATGAGCTTCTTATTCCTTCATGGATTGGCGTCGTTTCCTCCGACAAAAAGCGCACAAGAAAGGCAAATAGCGTTATGACAATTAAATTCGAGAATGGACACTCAAATGCATTCTTTTACAAGACAGATGATGGCAGAATATTCTTGATATTGAATGGCGAAGCCTTACAACTCAAACTGAGAGGCCAAGGAGAAGATTATTTATATCGTGCAGTTCCGGTTGTTTCGAACGAAGAACATACATCAAAGATAGCCTACGTCGAAGCTACAAAACGTAATAATATATACTCCATTCCTGCAAAACCAGAAGATATTCGTTTGGTCGAAGAAGCAGAAAGAAAGAATCTTAAGAGCAAGGAATCAACATCTACAGCAAGCCAGAAATCAGAGCTTACATCAAAATACTTAGAGGAATAATATTAATTTTTTTTTTATGAAACTATAAAAGATAATTTGTATAAAACATCTTTTTGTTTTGTCAATGAACTTCTAATTTAATTAGTTATTTTTAGAAAACAAATCAATAATGATTTGTAAAAAAAGTATGTAGAGGTGAATGATGGACAAATTTGCGATTTTTTATTCACCGTGTGGATTTATTTAGTGATTTTTAGAAAGTATATCAAATAAATTGTAAAAAAAAGTTTTTAAAGGAGAACAAGAGAAAGGGACAAACTATCCAGTGTCACTTTTCAAAGGAATAAAAAAAATAATAAAGATGGGGAACAGGACAAATTTGCCACACGGCACTTTTTTTAAAAAATTTAATGGAGCGGAGCGATACTCTGCTGCAGGAGCCCCAAGGCTCCCAATCATTACGAAAGGGAGCCTCAGGGCTCCTGAGAATCCATCAGCAGAGGCCTTTTCATTTGGCCTCTGCTGATCAAAGATTCGGCGAAGCCATTCTTCGTCTCAGGAGCCCCAAGGCTCCCAATCATTACGAAAGGGAGCCTCAGGGCTCCTGAGAATCCATCAGCAGAGGCCTTTTCATTTGGCCTCTGCTGATCAAAGATTCGGCGAAGCCATTCTTCGTCTCAGGAGCCCCAAGGCTCCCAATCATTACGAAAGGGAGCCTCAGGGCTCCTGAGAATCCATCAGCAGAGGCCTTTTCATTTGGCCTCTGCTGATCAAAGATTCGGCGAAGCCATTCTTCGTCTCAGGAGCCCCAAGGCTCCCAATCATTACGAAAGGGAGCCTCAGGGCTCCTGAGAATCCATCAGCAGAGGCCTTTTCATTTGGCCTCTGCTGATCAAAGATTCGGCGAAGCCATTCTTCGTCTCAGGAGCCCCAAGGCTCCCAATCATTACGAAAGGGAGCCTCAGGGCTCCTGAGAAACCTCTTTGAGAAGGTTTTCTTAAAGAAAACCTTCTCAAAGATGATTGTCAGCATTCACTCAAAATCTACCAAGAGTTTCAAAGTTTCAAATCTATCTGAAATGAAGCTTTGAATCTCTTGTATATCTAATTGTAGAGGTACCTTTTCAAAATGTCTTCTATTGATTAAATTTAATCAGTAAAAGTCATTTTGAAAAGGTACATCTCTATAATTGCTATTGAGCATTCACTCTTGGAACCTTGGAGCTCTTGTGTAGTGCATGAAAACTCCAAGATTCTAGCATAAAACATATATCATAGACATAATTTCTTCAAATATAATTTAAGGTTATTTTTTTAAAATCAGAAAAGCGTAATTTAAGGTTATTGAAAAAGTGACACCCGGCAAATTTGTCCCGCACTCGGAGAACAATATGCAATTATGCATTTTCTATATATACTCAGCGGATTTAAATAGTTATTTTTAGAAATCAAATCAAATTTAAATTGAATAATGCATTTAGAAGAAAATTATAAATAAAAATGTGATTTTTATATGTTTCTTGATCATATATTTCACAAAGAAATGAATTGCGCTACAAGACACATCAAAATTTTGTCACTTTTCACTCTAAAATGCCTCAGCAAGAGTTCATGGAGCTCCACCGAAAACGCTTCGGTAAGCGTTTAGATGAGGAGGAGCGAGAGCGCAAGAAAGAGGCCAAAGAAGGAGTAAGAGTTTCTGTTCTTTCGAGAACTCTACGTGGTATTAAAGCTAAAATCTTCCATAAGGACAGATATAAACAGAAAGCAGAAATGAAGAAGACAATCAATACATTCGAGAAATCTAAGGTTGCTGATACAAAGAAGAAGGCTATTGGTGATGAACCACTTCCAGTATATCTTATGGACCAGAATGTTACGAGAACAGCAGATGTTTTAAGCAACTCATTGAAACAGAAAAGGAAAGAGCGTGCTGGCAAGTGGGATGTTCCTCTTCCACAAGTTAGACCTATCGCAGAAGATGAAATGCTTCGTGTTCTCAAGACTGGTAAGACAGGTCGTAAGAAATGGAAACGTTTGGTTAACAAGGTATGCTACGTTGGTGAAGATTTCACTAGAAAACCACCTAAACTCGAAAGATACGTTCGCCCAGTTGGTCTTCGTTTCAAACAGGCCAACGTCACACATCCACAACTCGGACAGACATTCTTATGCCCAATTATTGGCGTTAAGAAGAATCCTAATGGTCAAACTTATACAGGTCTTGGTGTTATTACTAAAGGTACAATCATTGAGGTTAATGTCTCAAAGATGGGCCTTGTTACTCCAACTGGCCGTATTGTATGGGCTAAATATGCTCAGGTTACAAATGCCCCTGAAAATGAAGGTTGTATCAACTCAGTCTTGCTGATATAGAGAATAAAGCTTTTTTTCATTTGGAAATATATATTAATAAATCAATTATCTTTATTTTTTATTTTGAAATAATACAAATTATCAAAAATTTGTTTGTTAATAGATTAGATGCTGTCAATGTGCTATCTAAGCAATAAAGATAGTAAATATAGGAATGTTATAATGACAAAATACATTATGTGCATGTTCTCAGATTATTGTTAACTTTTTGAACAAATAACTAGTCATTTGATGAAGTTTCATATACAAATATATGTTCAAATGAACTTAAGTATGCTATCAACCCAATTATTATGATTTAGGCAAAATTTGATAAAATAAATTTTTTTATACACTTTATTAGACTTTTCAACCTCTATTCATGAGGAAATTATGTGGAATGGTGTGTAATTAATTCTATGGAGCTGGGCGCATCATAAACTTCAAGAATTCATAAGCGTTGGAATTTTGATCTAATAAGATGGAATATATTACTAAAAAAAATTAATCAAAAATTAAGATGATGTGTTGTGTTTATTTAAAAAATATGAGCTTAGATGTTGTGGATGCGGAACTGTGTTCTGAGGTGAACTGTCCAGCAGAAGAGTGCGAAGGCAGCGATGACAACGAGTGTCTCGATTGGGAGCTGTGAGAACCATGTAACGACCTTGGACTGGACAGCAACCTTTGTAGAGACAACTGGTGTTGTTTCGCCAATACGGTAGAGATCAACTGTGTACTCACCGCGGAGGAACTGTGTTGGGATTGAGATACGAGACTTGGAGAGTGTCTGGGCAGCTGGGAGGTTGGCAGCAACTTGGCCGTCTGGTGTCATGACCTTAGCGACGAAGAAACCACCAGTGATAGCCTTGTTGTTGAACATTGTTGTGTAGTCGATTGTGATAGCATCAGATGTCTGGACAATCTTGTGGTCGAAAATGATTTGGCCTTCGATTTCGTACTCCTGTGTGAGCTTCTTTCCGTTGAACAAGAGTGGAAGGTACTCTTCACCCTTGCGGACAACGATTTCAGCTGTGAGTTTGCCACTTGGAACGGAAGCGTCGATTGTGAACTCGACACTCTCGAGGCCCTTCTGGTCGCATGTAGCTGTCTGCTCGGCAACAACGCGGTCGCCCTTCTTGAGGAGGATGACTGGGAATGCTAAGCCTGGAAGTAATGTCTTTCCGACGTTCTTCTCCTTGACAACTAACTCAGCCTTGATTGTCTGGCCGTATGTCAACTTCTGTGGCTTCACGAGACCCTTGACCTGTTCAGCGATGATCTCTGAGTTCAGTGTGACAGCGATTGGCTCCTGTAATGAGAGAGGAACTGTGAATCCCTCGGAGTTCTTGAAGACGAACTCGATATTGAAGCCTGTTGCGAGATCGATGTTCTCATCAACTGTTGTTTCGAACTCGACTGTGATGTTGTGTTCGACAACCTTGATTTCACCATCAACTGTCTTAGCAATAGCGTTGCCGCACTTGAGAACCATCTGGTACTTCTGTGCCTCAGCTGGGCCACTTGGGAAGAAGCCTTCTGTGGAAGCATCCTTGAGATCTTCGCCGAATGACTTCTCATCGTTGAACTGTTCGACAGCACTATCAACGATGACGCCTGGAACCATGGAGACCTTGAGAAGTTCGCCAAGCTTTGGTGTGGAGTTGATCTTGTGGGAGATAACTGTCATGTTGGCGTGGTAGAGGTAGCGGAACTCCTTGCGTGTGTGGATACCGTGCTGGCGGTCACCAATTTCGACAGAGAACTTGACGTAGCCGTCTGGAATTGGGTTCTTTGGATCGAATGTCCACTGGAATATGTGGTCAAGCTTGAAGTCAGCAGAATCGTAGAAGAGGAGGGCTTCGGATGAATCGTAGACAGCGAATGTGGCCATTGTGCCTTCTTCAACTTCGATGCCGTCTTCGAATCTGCCGTGGAGAACAGACTTGACAGCAGCACCTGGTTCGATGATGCCGCCAACTGGAATGACTTCTTCAGCGCCGGCTGTGACATCGCAGGAGATATCGACTGGAAGGGAGACTGATGTCTGGATGTTCTTTGTAACATCAACCTGGTGGCCTTCACGGATTGGAAGCCATGTCTGGATATCGAATGTAAGTTGGCCGAGCTTTGTAGCCTGTGTGTATCTGTCACCCATCCAAACACCATTACGTTCATCGAAGTCAAGCTTTGTGTCAACGGACTTCTCTTCACCAATTGTTGTTGTAAGGTTGATGGCAAGATATGGGTTGACGAAGCGCTTAAGGATACGGGCAACAGCAGCTGGGCGGACAACCTGGCCAAGTGTAAGACCACCACGGCCAAGTTCTAAGACCTGGTTATCTGTTGTAATGGCGAAAAGTTCGATATCGAGGAGCTTCTCGAAAATGCCCTGGGAAACAAGGAGGCGTGTAAGAGAGAAGAGATCGTTGATTGTTTCTGGGATATCTGGGTTCTTAAGCTCTTCTGGAACATCATTAGAGCCTTCCTGGTTGAGAGCGTTAAGGAGGTTGCCAATCTGGTAGATGGTGATGTTCTTAGCCTTGAGACCATCGCTGATGATCTTCTTGGAGTACTGATCAGCACGATAGTTGTTGGACTGAAGGGAAATGGCTCTGGAGATGGCTGTACCATAGATCTGAGCATCGATTTCATTGATGCCATCGAAAGAGTAGCGGTCATCCTGTGTATGGTCTGTGATGTAGTTACGGATGGCAAATGTGTTGAGCCATGTAAGTTCGTTCTCAAGCTTGTTGAGGGTGAGGTAGGCGAAGTGTGTGGCTCTAACTGATGGATCTGAATCTAATGTATCGCGGAAGAGACCAGAGTTAGAATCATAATGGTTCTTAAGGAATTCAACAATAGATGGGATATCAAGAGCATTTGGTAAGATAATTGTGGCGGCCTTGAAATAGTAGTATGTGGCCTCAACGGATGACTTTTGGCCTGGTGACATGCCGGCACCACCATCACGGTTACGGAGGGATGTGATGAAGCGCTGAGCATTGGAGAAGTCCATGTTCTTGAAGAGGCCGTATGTGAAGCCTAAGTAAATGGCATGGTATGTAATTTCTGCTGTTGGCTCTTGACCAGTGACTTCGTAGAAGCCACCGTTAGCATGCTGCTTCAAGCCAATTTCAGCAAGTCTCTTGCCAAGGAGGTATTGGTCAATACCTGTGTTGGTAGAGCGAGCTAAAGATGCTAAGAAAAACATTAGGTTGAACTGAAATCCAAAAGTGACGCGGCAAATTTGCCAGTCTATCGATCATCCTTTAATTTAAATTACTATTTGTTGGAAGATGTCTAATTCAAATGATTTTAAAATTTGTCGATTTTTATTTATATAAATATACTTCTACAGTTCAATATCTCATATCTCCAAAAAAACATCATCGCCTGATAGATAATAGACAAAAACGCGAGCTTTCTAGATATCGAAATTACTACATTTATCAAAAAATGAATGGAATGAAGTCTACAAATCGGAATATTCTAATCAAATTTACAATCAAAATAGGCAATATGTAGGAAACACTGGAGATTTTTATGTCCGTGAAGTTTATTTCTCAAAACTCGGTGATGATGGAGTTATTATTCTTAATTCACCAGATATTAAGTCGCTTATTTCATCAGACACCTTCGAAAACTCATCAAGGAATGATTTAGGTGGATCTATTTACATCAAGCAAGGCCAAAGTTCCATTCGAAAAGTTTGCAGTTTTGGATCTAAATCGACAACTCATGGAAAGTTTTGTTATATTGAAATATCAGACGATTCCACAAAAATCAATGAAGTTATTGATTCATCTATTACATATAGTAATCGAGGAGTTCTCAGTGAGCAAGGTACAATCGAATTAGAATATGGAAATAAATCGATTTTACAAAACAACTTCACAAGAAACTATTGCGCACAGAATACAGCTTTTGCAATTCAATATGGAAAAGGAACTTCTTCAATAAAATATTCAATTATTAATGAAAATTCTGCAGGATCTAGAATTTGTATTTCATCAATTAAACCAAAGGCAAAATATGACAGCATTATTTTCGTAAACAACACTGTTTCTAATCCTGATGATTTTATTGGAATGATTTATTCTTATCAGTGCGAAACAACTTTAGAAAACTGTTTCATTGCAAATAACAAACAAAATGGTCAATATTTGTTTGGAATTTATGAAGGTTCAATTACAGTATCTAATTCATATATTGATACTACAGAACTATTATATGTATCAAGTCAAAATGTAAAAATTGGACCATTCAAAGGAATTTCACTTGAACTTCATTTTTCAACAGAACTCTGTCCAACAAGTAACTATTTTGTTAATTTTGGCAAAGGGAATAAAGTCATATTCACGGAGCTTATTCGTCTTCAAGGTTTTGAAGAAAGTTTTGCTACGTTTGTTTCTTAATTTTTTTTTATTTATTTATTTATTTGTGTGTGTGTGTGTGTCAAAATTCCATGAGTTTGAGTTCTGAAACTTGTGCTGTAATCGGAATGGGCACATGAGATGATTATATCATTGTTGCAAAACTTAATTTAGTTTGAATAAAAAGATTTTATTTAATTTAGGAATCTTTTTGAATAATGAAGTAATTCAATCTCATAAAATGTTTGCTTCATTAATTTGGTCAATTAATGAATTGAATCATATATCACGAATTTCAATGAGAAAAAAAAAGATATTCATAAAAAGCTCTATATTTTATATAATAACATTCTTATTTTTGAGTGTCTCAAGAAAATTATTGACATAAGGATCAAATTTCTTTGGTAAGTGATCAACTGCAATCTTTATAATGTTTTCATCAACATTACCTGATTTTGCAGTATAACCAACAATAAAAACAGCAAGAACGCTCATAAAACTACTGTTTTCTTCATTGTAAAAGTTAAACCATTCAACAACAATTGGATTCAAACTTTCTAAATCTTTGACGGAAATGATATCTTTTGCCAAAAATTTGTTACAAAGATAAATCGAATTATGCCTTATATAAACATCATCTGTTGTTTCCAATATTTTAAATACGCTTCCTAATATATCTTCTGCGATGTTATTTCCTTGGAAAAGTTCTAAAGGAATGTCTGCTAAACATCCAATTGAAAGATACAAAATATTATTGTCTTTGCTGCTATTTAACAAATCTACAAGGAAAGGAATACAAACTTCTGCAATTCTTGCATTCCATATCAAACAAATAATATCTGTAAATGATTCAAATACATTTTCATCAAACAAATCATTCGGATTTTCTTGACAAAACTTGATGATTAATTTTTCAATTAAATCAAAAACAAATTCATTAGATTTCTGTTCTATTATCTGTTTGTCTAATAACAGCAATGCTTGTAATATCTTTCCATTGCAATCCAATAGAATTTCATTGATTTTTGTTACCAATTCATTAATTTTTTCTTCATCTAATAAATTCATTATATTTGATAAAGAAATTCGAATTTCTTCAATTATTCTTTCGCGTGGAGTTTCTAACAATTTCATGATATTCTCATAAATCTGTAGAGCTAATTCACCATCATTAATTTTCATGCAGATCTGCGATAAAGCTACATAAGAAAGGGATCGAATTTGTGTTGATGAATTTTCATCAAAACAAAATTGAGAAATTATTTCTTTCATTTCAACGGCAAAATCAATGAAAACATCTGGCTTCAACTCGAAACATTGTGCAAATAAGGAAACCGCAGCTTCTATTAATTGAGAATCAATCAATGAAATAAAAGCAGATTTAACAATTTCAACAGCAACTTCTTCTGTTTCACTTCTTGTTAATAAACTTTTGATCAAACAAAATGAGTTTTCAGGAGATTCTTGTATAATGTTAATTAAAAATTCTGCTTGGGAATCATCCAATTTCGTTAAATTTCCTATACATATTGCCAAAACTTCTAAATAACTTTCTCTTAAGTCTTCTGTAACTTTTTCACTATAATCAAGAAGAATTTTGAAGATTTCATCTGTTTGAACATTAGTTATCTTGACTATTCTTTCAAGTGCATCAAATAAAACACATTGAAAAGTTAAATCATCAGTTTTTTCAATCAAATCCATCAAATGAGAAATTAAATTACTTCCTATCTTCAAAATTACTTCGATTATCTCTGAATCTCTGATAAAGAACAACGCAGCAAGTATGACATCTTTATTTTCACTTCCAAAGACGGCATTTAACAGCTCTACAATGAAATCATTTGGAATGTTTTGATTTAATTCCAAGATTTGATTTGTCAAAGAGAAAAATGGAATTAAATACATAATATTTTGTTCTACAAAGTTATTAAATATATAAGGAAGCATCTCTATGACATTTTCTTTATCGATTAATTGTAAAAAGTCTGATATTAAACCAAAAGATTCTGTAATTTGTTCTGTTTCAAAATATTCATCCAATGAAATCTTCATACACCTTGTAAGGATATTTATTGAGTCTTCTTCAGTTATGTACTGCGTAAACATCGCAATGAAACAAAGAACTGAACTGTTTTCTTCCCAATTTAATTCATCATTAAATAAAATTGAAAAAGAGGCATTGAGGAGAGTTGAAATATATTTATCATCGAATTAATATTGGTTTGTAATAACAGACATTAACATCCAAAACGTTCTCATTTCATTCGGATTTAAAAGCAAGGAATCATTCAATGCCCGTTCACTAATGAGATTCTTTATATTTGGTGAAGATATATCAATAGAATCACTGATATTAAGCAATATATAAAGTAAATTTGTAAAATCAGAATTTGATAAATTTTTTGAATCGTTTAACAATGAATTTAATAGCGAGGGAGCAATTGCATCATTATATTCGGTGCTATTTGTAGTTATTATTCGAAGGAAATATAATAATTGTGATACATTCAATAAATTAATTGTATTTTCGAATATATCTGGAATAAAAAGGCAAATCATGCTAATTAAAGTAAGTATGTTCGATGATATAATAATATCATCTGAATATTTTTCTAATATTTGAATAAATTGTTCTTGAAACAATTTCATCTCATCAGAGTCATATTTTCGAAAATTAATTTTCATAATAATTACCATGTGAACTACAGCAGCCCGTTTAAGTCTTTCCGTGAGATCATCAAATTTATTTAAATATAAAATGATTGATTCTTTATCATCTTTGATAGAGTCAATAACTTTCTTAACATAATCTTGATCGCTCTGATCGTTTGACAAAGTCTTGACTAAGAAACCATTCAAATCCTCCATCTCACATTGAAAATTTGTTACTTTTATTTGAATTAATTTTGAGTATGCAAACATAATATGTGCATCACCATTATCATTTCTTGGATCTTTTGAGGTGACTACCAAATAACTTAATACACAGATCTTTATGTTTAAAATAATTATGATAAGTTTTTTATGCTATTTTTCAACAATAAATGATTTATGCAGCAGTAAGATCATCGTTAAAGTAGATGAGAATTGCAGGGATATACATATCAAAGTCAAGACCAAGGCGAGCAAATTTAGCAGATTCATCATGAATTCCGTTTTGTTCAAGTGTCTTTTCCATTTTAAGTACGTTTCCTTGGAATTTCCATGTGTAGCTGTCTGCGTGAGAGTTAATTGCCTTAAAGCGCTCGAGGATATCATTTAATGTTTCCTCGCCGGCAACTTCAATAAGATCTTCCTTTGATGTCAGTGTATTTACAATTCTAATATATCTAGGATTCTTAGATAATTGGCCAATAATCTGTGATTCATCCTTCCACCATGGCTTGGCTACAGGAATTTCTGTTGTGTTTGGTGTTGGGTTCGGAAGATGCAATAAGCAATCGAAAGGAACGTGTGGAACTTCTAATTCAGTAACAGGATCAATTCTTGTTTTGATGTCCTTTGTATCTGGGTTGAACCAATGAGAAATATCTGTTCCGGCAGATTTAATAATTGGCTGAATGCCCAAATCGTTCTTATTATCAGCAATGAGTTTGGTCAAATCCCAAACTTTTCCAAGGAAGGAAACCCAGCAATCTGTTGAAGTATTATGTAATGCTACTTCGCTTGGGAGAATCCACTTCGTCATTATTAACGTATCTAGTTTTGACAAATAAAATTCCGATAAATTATGTCAAATAAAACTTATATTCTTATATGAGCCTATTTTTTACAGAAACAGCTTCAAAAAGCAATCAGGTAAATAAAGCTACAATTAAGCAATGCCTTAGAGGAGAAGATCCTGAAAAATTGAAATCTGCATTGCAATCATTTAAGAAATCAAGTCAGTTTGATCAAGAATTTCTTGATGAATCATTAATGCAATGCTCCAAACAGGATCAAGGTGATTTCGTAAAAGTTTTACTTGAAGAAGGCGCTAATCCGAATTCAGGATCTTTCAGAACTCCACTACAGTGGGCATTAATGATGAATAAGGAAAATTCGGCCCAAGCGCTTATACTAGGCGGAGCTGATGTGGATTTCGGAAATCCACCACCAATTACAATTGCTGCAAGTTTAGGAAGATTGAATTCAGTTAAACTTATACTTGAAAAAGGTGTAGATGTAAACAAAATGGATACAGATAACAGAACCGCCCTTGATTTAGCCGAAAATTATAAGCATACTGAAATTGCGAGACTTCTTAGAGATGCTGGATGCCATAAGTCATCCAAAGCAATATTAGGATTCCATTGATTCAATTTTATATATTCTTAACATGTTTTGCATCGACTCTTATAACATATATCGTAAACGTTATGTTTGGGTCAGCAAAAATGATAAGTTATGAATTCTAAATACAATACTTTTTTTAATAATTTTGTGTCAAGCCCTAATTTAAGCTCAAACTTCACCTGCTTGTAAACAATCTATTTAATCTGTTATACTTATGAAATAGATTATAAAATATCCCACTCTTTTTTTCGATCATTTCCTTCAATTCTTTCTAGATATTTTTTATATAGTTAATTGATAAAACATACATATGCTCGGAAAAAATAACTATTTACAAATTGCTCAATATTAATCTTTGAAATAAAGGTTTTTTCAAATTGAATTCAAGTTGCTATTAAGATCGGATCTTCTATGAAAATATAGAATTAAACAGAATGTATATTATATTTTTATCATTTTGGAAGCAATCTAACATTATTCATATCGATTTGGAGATCGTTCGGTGTAAAGATGAATAAGAAGTTCTTTAAAACTTAACTATAGCATTATCATTTGTATGCTCATTAGATTCCAGCAAGGAATGATTACTGTATCTCGGTGAATAAATTGAATATTTGTATAAAATATCACATTTATTTACGAAAACTATTTAATTGGCATAAATAGAACATTATGAAAGTATATTGAGGAGATCATATATAATTACAAACCTTTTTGAAGAAAATAACTGACAATTTCTTATGAAAGAAAAATTACTCCTAAGGATGTCAATTTGGAAGAAAAGTGAGAAAATTCCTAAAATGCTAAAAATGAATTTTCCAAACGTACTTTTTTATCTCATTTTTTTGATTTTGAAAAAAATTTGGAGAGAAGAACTCTTCATTTTTGAATTTTATCACGATGGTTTTAAAGTATATTAGACACATGTATTGATATTACTATTTTTGTATATTTTGAGAGAAAATCCCTAAAAAGTGAGAAAATCTGAGACGGTTTGAGAAAATATATAAACTATTGAAAATTTGAATTAAACTTCTAATTTGGAAAAAAGAAATTTGGAAAGAAGAAAATTCAAAAATCGAGATTTAGACTCAGCATCAAATGGAGAACAAAATGTTTCTTCATATGAAGGAAAAAAATTTTCTTGTGAAGAAATAGAGTTTTTAAAATTTTATTGTATGTAATGAAATAAACAAATATTAAAATTATTTTTTGATAACAAGAAAATTCCCAACAGAAAATATTTGAGACAAAGAAAAAAAAGAAAATTGAAAAATATTACTCTCCTTTACATTTCATGAGATTTTCAATTTATTTTCATAAAATTGACAATTTTATACGTTTAGATGAAAATAAGTGATTTTGCTTGAAATAAAAATTATTGTTTGTTTACAGCTATCAAATAGATTTTTGCTATTTTGATTAAAATTTGTTAATCAAATTAATAATTTTTTTCTAAATATCTTAAATATCTGGATCACTCACTGATACGATGAATTAAACGATAAAAATAATACAAACTCAACTAAGTTTCCTGTCTTTCAACCAAAAAATATTATGCAATTTAAATTAAATTGTTTATTCAAAGATAAAACAAAGATAAAGTAATTATAATTATCATATACTTTATGAATAACTCTCTAATTGGATAAGATTTTCGTACAAATATTTTTATTAATATCGATAAGAATATGTTTACCTACTATCACCATATGTCGATAAACGAGAGTAGAGTGATTTTTATCATCGAAACTTTTTAAAAGCTGTAAGCAGGAAGTAATAATCTTGTTTTTTCTGAGTTAGTTGTAGAACTATTGATGCCCGAGTTATCATTGTGATGCAGAAGGATATCAATGTACTGACTGAAGGATATGAATTGAATTGAATTTTATTGAATTTCAATTTGATCAAAATTTGTTGAAATGATATGAATGTGTCAACTTCTGTATCATTCTCCTTCACTCCTTCCTTATTCTTTCGAGAACGAAGCTAGCTCAGCTTTCGCTGAGCGAATTGACACTTTTCATGCCCTAAACGTACATACTCTCAAATTTATCGAAAAAATTAATACCACCTAAACTAGTATATTCTTATTTTAAATATGATATTATCCTTATATTCCACACTAAAATTCATTTAAATCAACTTTTAAAAAAGTTCGAATCCTGCGCGTCTCACTTTTTAAATTTTCCAAATGGAAAATTATATTCTCCTAAAGTGAAAACAATTTTCCAAATTGACTTCCTTATTACTCCATATTATATCCTTGAGTGAGATTCATAGTGAAAGAATTTGATAAATCGATGACAAATTTTTTGCAATTGCAAACTGTCTTCAAAAAAAGTTTAAATATGGATGTTTATCCGGCGCATGATTGCATTTTCGAACTTTTGTGAATTTTTTATTGATTTATCCAAATCAATTTTTTGTAAATCACCCGTACCGAAATTCAAGAACCTTTTCAATTTCAGATTGAAAAATTCAGAAAGGAATGGCCTAAGATTAATATAACCTTTATAAGAAATACTCTATTACTCATGAATATTGAATTTATTCATTTATTATTGATTAGTCTGTGATTCAATGAGACTGTGGATTTGAAAGTATACATCTCAAAAAAATTGAGAGAATGTCACGAAAAAAAAGTAACTTCATTTTTCAAGACTTCGGATAGAAAAGCATGACTTCTTTCTTCCGCCGCGAACTCTTGTATGCAGCAATTGTCTGCCTTACTCCTCTTGGCTTCGGTTACCTTATTGGTTACCCATCTCCAGCCGCATCATACTTCCGCAAGGCCTGGGGAGAAGATTTCCCAGATAGCAATTGGGATCTCTTCGTCGCTATCAGCCAGCTCACTGGTGCTATTGGTCCATACATTCCTTCATTACTTTTCAAATTCGGATTAGGCCGCCGTCTCGTTACATCAATCATTAACATCCTTTCAATCATCTTCTGTGTTATCTTAGCATTTATGAATGTTAAAACATTCTGGATGGGCTTAGTAATGCGTGTTCTCCAAGGTTTCATGCTCGGTGCTTTCTCATCTCTGGGTCCATTATTACTTCTTGAAGTTGCTCCAGCTGAACAAACAGATCTTCATTGTCATTGGTATTCTTATTCTCTACCTCATTGGTGAATACCAGAAACCATACGTAATGTGCATTTACTCTGCCATTTCTCATGCTCTCCAGCTTGGTCTCATTTGGCTCATCCCAGAAACAGCAATTCATCAACAGGAAGCTGAAGAAGAGAAGAATGACCAGAAGGAAGAACAAGAATCAATCTTCCAAGCCAAGTACATCTGGCCACTTACTGTTCTTATCCTCATTATGCTCACACAGCAATTCTCAGGTATCAATGCCATTCTTTCTGACCTCAGCAAGCTCTTCGAAGATGCTAACATCAATGGTATCTCATCTGGTATCCAGTCATTCATCGCCACAGCAGCTCAGCTCATCGCATGCTTCTTCTCTGGTGGTCTCATCAAGAAGGTTGGTCGCCGTGCTATGTGGACAATCTCTGGCATTGTTTGCGCTGCTTCCCTCATCATCTTCGGCTTCAATACCAAGTATGACTGGTCCAACGTTCTTCCTGTTGTTCTTATCTTCCTTTACCAATTCGGTTTCGGTCTTGGTCTTGCTCCAATGCCATGGTACTCATCTCCAGAGCTCTTCACACTCTCTGTCCGTCCAATGGCTTCTGCTATCAACGGTATGACATCATGGCTCTTCTCCTTCATCATTGTTTATGCTTCCCCAGCTATGAAGAAGTCCAAGATGGGTCAACTCGGTCTCTTCCTCTTCTACGGTATCATCACAATCGCCGGCACAATCTTCGGCTTCTGGTTCATCAAAGAGCCACAAGAAGACAAGAGTGAGTCCCTCGATAATGATGAAGATGAAGCCCCAAAGGCTTAAATCATTAGGCCACAATTTTTTTTATGTAATCTAAAATTAAAAAGAAAATGTTTTAAAAGTCTTATCTTTTTCACAACAAAAGTTTTTTAAAAAGATAACGATTTTGTTTGGTTTGATAACGCCAATAATGGCAATATTGAATATATATTAAAATCAATATTCTTTTTTGAAGCCCACTTTTAGATAAATATAACAAGGAAATCAAATAAATTATATTCATAAAGAAAAATTTGATTAAACTTGAAATTTTTCAAAAAAATTCAATTGAATTTTCTTATTGATATAAAAAAATATGAACAAAAGATTGACAATAATTTGTGGTATAAAAAAATTTTCTCCTGAATTTTTAAATGTCGTAAAAAAAATAAAAAAAAATTAAAAAAATGAATTATTTCTTCTTTGGTTCGTAAGTTGGGGAATAAGGAGTATCATTATTTGGCGAGTAAGTCATCGGTCTTGTCTGTGGAGATAATGGGTTATACCTTGTGTTAGAGAATCCTCCTGCAGGCGAGAAGTTGGTTGGATCGTACTGTTGAGCAGGAGACAAAGGCGACATTGACTGACCCATTGCCTGAGGTGACAAAGGAGAAGCAGCAGCAATTGGAGAATAAGCGTGGTCTGTGATAGTTGTGTTGAGGAGTTGTGCATTTCCTTGGTAAGACGGTGATGGCATTGTGATTGAGTAGTTCTGTTTGTAAGTCATGATTGGTGATGCCGCATTTTCTGCACCGTACAAATAAGGAGACTGTGCATCCATAAGCATTGGGCTGAGTGCTCCACCGTTTAGAGGAGACTCTATTGGAGAAACAGGGCTCATTGGAGACTGAACAATATCGTTTGTCGGCATATCCTGGAATGGAGATGTAACGATATTGTCCTGGGAAACGTAACCTTGAGGAACTGGAGAAATCATCATAGATGGCGTTGCTGGGCCAATGAGATCTTCTCCTCCGTTGTTTCCTTTAGTCATTGGGAGCAAGTCTTCGTTGATAAGGACTTCGACAATACCTGTTCCTGCTCTAGAAGGTTTTCCTGCGATGATGTTTGATGATACATCGCGCATGTAATCTATCTCTGAGAAAACAGCTGCATCGAAGAAAACATCGTTTGTCATTTCGTAGGAAGCTCTCATCAAGGTTCCTGTTGGTGTCTTGTTGATACCGTGTCTTGAAACAGGATACAAAACACCATATTGTGTCATTGTATCTGCAAGAAGATCAAGGTGACGCCTGTTAAGAGCTGCACCGGCGTTTTCCATAATGAGCATCATTTCGTAGGAAAGAGAGTGTCTGGCAGCTTCGATACCTAATACATCGCAAACCTGGTAGATATCGTTTGTGATTGTATGAACAGTATCGACGTGATCGAGTGAGAGAATCTCTCTGAATGCAGTACCTTCTGTGTAAAGGCAGGAGACTTTTTCTTTATCGAAACCGTGTGTTTCTGGATTCAAGAACATCTTCTCAGCGGCTGAATTGATTTTAACACGAGAAATGCCTGGAATACCCTTGAGAGTGAAGGACTTGTACATCTGTTGCTCTGTCTCTCTGAGGAATTTAACATCCATAGCGAACTCTGCCTGTTCATCCTTCAGTCTCGCCTGCATTCTGATGATACGTGCATCATCATCACCGATTACGAAGAACTTGTCTCCGTACATTCCCTTGATCTTCTGGACAATGTCGGAAATGGATTCGATGTTTGATGCGATCATTTCTTCACGGTTGATCTCAAATCTGAGAACCCATGGAGCCAAATCTTGGAGTTCTCTGTCTTCAACACCACCGTATCTAATTCTGGTGTTGATCCATTTTGTATCTGGCTCGATGATTGTCTCCTCAGGATTTGGATCGTAGTAGATCTCTGCCTTGATGACGAACTTCTTGAATGAAGCAGATTCGATCTGTGCACGAACTGCTTTAACGATTTCTTCATCTTTGGCAACATCTCTCTCGAATTCGACAGTTACAGATGGAGTTCTAATGTGCTTTGCGAGGTTCATGAGCTCGTTAAGACGTGGAACACCCAATGTAACATCGTGTGCAGAGATACCTGCGAAGTGGAATGTGTTCAATGTCATCTGTGTTGATGGCTCACCAATGGATTGGCCGGCAATTGTTCCGACCATTTCACCTGGTGCAACAATAGATCTGTAGAATCTATCCTTGATTGAACCCAAGATGTACTTGAAGGCTTGTTCATTGAGTCTGTACTCAAAGATGCATTGTTTGGCGGAAAGATGGGAGTAAAGCATGATCCTGAGAAGAAGAGTTGCATTCTCTTGTTCTGTACGAGAGATGTTATCATTTCCTTTGACGACAATGAGAGAGTTGACGCATTCATCGACACGGGAAATGATATCGAGAGGGTTGAGATCTGATTTGGAGACGTGGACATTGATATCGAACTGACGCTGTGAAGATTCGATGATACGAGCGATGTTTACAGGAACAACGACTGTGTTTGAGCCGTTGGGGAAGATTTCCTTCTGAAGGATTTCTCTGTACTCCCTGAGTCTGTTCTCTTCTTCCTTGAGGAACTTGTCTTTGTTCGGTGTCTTAAGGAATTCATCGAGAACGAAATCGTCCATTTCAACTTGACCGAATGTTGGATCTTCCGTAGCGAGATGGTATTTCTTCATGAAATCCTCATCATTTAGAGTGACTAATGCCAACCTCTGTGTCTCCAAACCTGTTGCATCTAAGCCATCTCCACCGTAAATGAACTGAACAATCTCATTCTGTGAGTTTCTGACTGTGCCATCGTATGCAACATGGTGGGATTCCATGGATTTGACAAGTCTACGCTGGATGTAGCCTGTATCTGATGTCTTGCACGCTGTATCAATGATACCTGTACGACCACCCATAGCGTGGAACAAGAATTCTGGTGGTGTAAGACCCGCAATATATGAATTCTTGCAGAAACCACGTTCTACGAGACCGTATTCGTGTTTCTGGAAGTGTGGAAGAGTTCTTCCGTTGAAACCGAATTTGACACGCTTACCTTCCATGTTCTGCTGACCGACAACGCCGATAATTTGTGACATGTTCGTGTCAGCACCTTTAGAACCAGCGGAAAGCATTTCCGAGAGAGAGTTATCTCTACGGATCTTTGCGTTGATGACTTTGTATGTCTTGGACAAGATTTCGTTTGTAAGGTTGTTAACTTCTGTTTCGAATGACTGCATGTAAGACATACCTGGCATACGTTCGAGCTGTCCGTCTTGTGCTTTGATGATTGTGGCCTGTACTTTGGATTCGACATCGTCAATTTCGTGTTTGACTTCTTGCAAAACGAAATCTGGAACAACGCAGTCGATGAGACCAATGGAGAAGCCTCTGTGCTCAAGCCAGTTGTTGACAATGAGCTGTGTCTGGTTGAGGAAGTCCTTTGCGATGTTTGTGTTGTATGAGTTGATGACGACGTGAATTAAAGAACCTTCTGAACGAGCGACGGTCTTCTTATCGAGAATACCAGCGAGGAGGTTACCATCTCTGATGATAACGTGTCTGTCCGCAAGAGGAATGGAGTTCTGATCCATTTTGTTCGCATCTTGGGAGTATGAGTTGTGGGAAATCTTCGGCAAGAAGAGGGAGAAGACCTGCTTACCTGACCAGAGCTGTACTGGCTTCAGGATGCATGGTGGTGGTAAAATCGTGTCTTTTGTCGTTGGAAGCCACATCATGAGGTTCATGACTTGGTTTCTTGTAAGGAATGTATCGCGCTTTGAGAGTAATCTGCAGCCAAGTAAAGCATCCTGCACAAGACCAATAACTGGCTTGTTTGCCTGTGGAGAAATGATCTGCTTGGGAACGGCCATGATATGTCTGACCTCTGTACGAGCAGTCTGACTCTGTGGAACGTGAAGGTTCATTTCATCACCATCGAAATCGGCGTTGTATGGTGTTGTATCGCAAAGATTGAGACGGAATGTACGGCCTGACATGATGAGAGCTCTGTGTCCCATCATAGACATCTTGTGCAATGATGGCTGACGGTTGAAAATGACAATATCATCATCACGAAGATGGCGTTCGACGATATAGCCTGGTGAAAGAGTAATTGTAGAAAGATCAGTGCAGCAAGAAAGATCTGTTCTTGTGCCGTGATCGTTGATGACGAAGTTGGCTCCACCAAGGTCATCATGTCCTTTCATGACAATTGACTCGAGCCATTTCTGGTTTGTAGGAGTAACAACTTCTGGGAATGTAAGGATCTTAGCGAGTTGCTCTGGAACACCGACTTGGTCGATAGAAATGGAAGGATCTGGTGAAATAACAGAACGAGCGGAATAGTCATCACGTTTGCCAGAAAGGTGACCACGCAAGTGACCTTCTTTACCTTTCAAACGCTGTGAGATGACTTTGAGTGGTCTGCCACTCTTTGTTACGGCTCTTTCGATGGATGGCTTATCATTGATCATGTAAGTCGTAATGTGGTACTGTAAGAGTGTTCTTGTCTCCTTCATGGCTGTATCTGTAGAGGACTCGCTACGCTGTGCACGAAGTCTCTTGTTGCAAATGATGATATCGCTTAATTTGTGGGTGATATCATCTTGTGATGGGGCACTCTGGCCTGGAGATACAACTTGTGGACGAACAGCAAGTGGAGGAACTGGTAAAATTTTGAGAATCATCCATTTTGGATGAGAACGCTTTGGATTGAAGCCGAGAAGTCTGACATCCTGATCAGAAATGTTCTCGAAGATTCTAAGAACAACTTCGGCGGATAAATAATCTTCTTCTGTCTTGGAAACATCTTTCAGCTTGATTAAGAAGTCCTTTCCTTGCTCAATTGCAGGAACAGCGGCATTGCATGGCTTTTTGACGCGTACATGTTCACTATGGGAATCGCCATTAACAAGTTCCCAGAAACGTTCGTCTAAACAAACATCTGGCTCGTTAGGGTTCTTGAGATCTGGAGAGTGCTGGCATTTGCCGGATTTAGAAGCAATCTTTTCGAATAATTTCAAGAAGCGGTTCTTTCCTTTATAATGAGTGACGATGTATTGAATTTCTGGATCACTATAGCTGCAAAGTACACGGCCACATTTATGGCAAACCATCTGCAAAAGCTTGTAGCAATGAGGAAGGAAGCCGACGTGGAAAAATGGTTCGGCAAGCCTGATGTAGCCAAAGTGACCAGGGCAATCTTCCTGATTACGGCCGCATGTATCACAAAGCCTTTCTCTTGTTTGTGTACCCATACGAAGATCAGATAAACCACCTTTAACATATTCACCTTTATCCATCATTTGGTTCTCAGTAATTTCGCATGCTCCAAACATTTCTATCTTTTCTGGGTCAAATAGACCAAAATCGATGGACCCAACAAGGCAACTTTCGATAGCGTTTTGTCGAACGTTCGCCATAGGGTTCAACGATTATTTTGATAATCCACAAAACAATTTTAAAAATTAAAAAGACATAATTATTAGCCATTTGTATACAGTATCAAATGCATTTATCTTTTTTCAAATGCATGGCCAGATCTTGAAAAGGCGGGAAAAATTTTTTAATCTCACCTACAATGGAAATGAAAATTCAATTTTTATTGTCAGTTAAAACTTGCCATGATATTTTTTGAATTTTTTTTTTTAAATTATGCAATAATCAGTCATTTGATCAAATATTTGGCTCTTATTGCAATTGTAACCTAGATTTGCTTTGTTAGATTTGGATTAAAATCATTAAATGTTTCCAAATTTTTTATGAAAATAAAAAAATGAACAAAAAATTTTAGATATTCAGTTTTATTTTGTGAAATTTGGAAAAAATTTGGAAAAAGTCAAAGTCAACAATGTTCTTATCTTCTTAATGAGTTATTGGCAAAGTTATTTTTAGTCCTTTTATGATGTTTTTCTTCAATTTTAAATAAATTTTATCCCAATAATAGGATTTTGGAGTAATCATTTGAATGAGCATGCTTAGTTCTATCATATAATTCGATAGATCATGTAAATAATGTAGAAAATTCAATTAAATTACAAAACAATTTTATTATATAACGATTTTTGTAAAAATCAATGGTTCTATACCTTTATGTCAGGAACAGGCATTGTCCAATTGGTTGGTAATGAAGGAGCTTGAGATAAAATTTTTTGAATTTCCTCGCATTGTTTGGGGAATTTTTCACTTTTGCTGCCAAGTTCCTTTGATACTTCAATAAATTGTTCAATCATTTCTTTTACGGTAATAATAATTGGAGAGCACTCTTCGCAAAGCGCTACAACGCAGGCAGTGTATTGCTCAAATTGTGCTGCTGTTTTAGCGTTTTTGGCTCTCTTCGTAAGTATTTCTAATGCGGTAATTATGTATCTAGACATGGCCATTCCAGCGTGCTTAATAATTTTAGGAAATTCGATTGTAAAATGATAAGGTGCTGTATCCTCTCTTGTCCATGTTTCTAAGAAGTGCATCATAAAATCATGAAATGCTGGTTCGTCAGTATTTTTATATACAATGTCTATTTTTTCTGTTACAGCTGGTAAAAGTGCTGGCATAACTTCACCATGTCCTATCTGTACTAACTTGTCGAAGCTTTTTTGTAATTCTTTACTTTTATATGCGATTTGTGCTGGCGCTGCTTCCTTTTCAAGAACATATATGCAGTCGCATCCACACATTTGGATCTTTGGTCTATAATGCATTGCAATTTTCATAATTGTTGTGTATAATTTGTCAAAGTTCTTTTGGATTTCATTATACTTGCATTCAACAAACCAATTTCGAAAATCTACGGCTTTATCTTCAAATTTATCCGCATCTTTGATTTCTTCTGAATCAAAACATCCTTCGAATTCAGCCAATTTTGCTTCCATAATTTGTCACTTTTCCACGTTTGATCTCTTTATTCTTTCTCACTCTTTGGGACGTCGATATTGACGATTTAGGCGTCGCAGTATGGTCAGGTAAAGAGGTCATTAACACACGTGTAAAAACTGCATGTAAAACGTGGATAAAAGCGTTTAAAGATGTGACAATTTTTTCAGATTCATTTCCAAAAGGCTCAAAAGAAGAATTAGACCAATTAGCATATCCAACTAAACTACATTATGTTGAATTAGGTAACTGCGCACAAGTCTGGTTTGGATCAGCTTGGGAACGAGCGCAACCACGATTTGTGAAAGCAATGGAAATGTTTTACAGAATGAATACCAGCAAAAAATGGTATTTCTTTTGCGATGATGACTCATATCCAGTAATGAGGAATTTATATCGCGTTTTAACAGAATATGATCCAAATGAGAAAAAAGTTCTTGGACATTTTTACTGTTCATGGTCTAAAGTTGTTTACGGTGTTGAAGATGAGGATAAATGTTTACTATTTGCACAAGGAGGTGCAGGTGTTGCAATTTCTAATGCATACTTCAAAGTCATTGCTCCATATCTTACTGGTTGCAATAACAATTTCACCGATAGAAATTACGCAGGTTCAATGAGATTTGCAAAATGCTCTGAAGACCATGTTGGCAAGGACTGGGATGATGGATACATCATATCCAGGCGAAATGAAGAATTCTTTTCATGCGATCCCGTTACAGAGATTAATTTTGGAGAAGTTAATCTTCCACCAGTGAATTTCCACTTCATGCCACCAAAGAAACTTGTCCAATGCCATTACGGAATCAGATCCGACTGGATTCGCGCTACAGACAACCAAAGTGTCTTTGTTGATTGGACAAATATTTCAGGAAAGGCGTATTCCATGTTCTATGGTCCATCAAACCTAGAATACTATTACAGATTCGGATGGACCATTTCCGTTTCGATGATTGGCGGCGTTGTTGGCGCTGCTTCAAGTCCTCTTGTTCCTCAATTTGCTGATTGGAAGAAAGACAAACCAATAGGCTTCATACAGAACTTCTCAGATACAGCTACTGTCGAAATTATCTGTGACGATTCAGTTCCAGATTTAGATGTCGAATTTGTCGACAGCACAAATCGAGATATGCTATACTTTACTATGAAAATGAAATGTCCTCCTGTTGAAGAATACAAATGGTAACGCTATTGTTTTGTATGTATAATTTTTTTTGTATTATAAATCTATATAAAATTTTGCGAACACATTTACTTCTTTCAAAAACGACGTTGCGAATAAGTTTTGAAGTTTTATGGCAATCGAGGAGTTCTCAGCAATTCTGATGCAATATAAAGTACTCACAAAATCTAGATTGAGAGGCGGTCAATGACTTTTGAGGGGAAATTAACGCATGGAATTTAATATTATTTAGGTTGATATTCTTGCTTATTATTTCAGAAAAAAAATCTTAAAAATTTCAATATGAAAATTGAAAGCAATTCAAAAAAATTGCTAACATGTAAATTTTAATATCCTATGCATAATTTCATATTTTGAACATTTTTTATTTTTGTTTAAAACTTAAAATTTTGCGAATTTAATATAATTTATAAAATATAATACGTATATATATTTAAAATACACTAAATTTAATTGTTAATTGACGTTTTTGGGAATGAATTTTATCAAAACATGCCTGAATCCGAAAATTTGAAAGAACGAATTACACAATCATATATGTAGAATTCAAAATACAAACTTAAAGATTGTATACGTTTAAAATTATTCAGATTGTGTTTGATTTCCACTCATTCTGTTTCTTTTGAACTCTAACACTAACATTTCATGATGATTACATGATCCATTTATACATGGTTGAATTGTTCCAGATTCTACCAGAAAATCAATCCAAATTTCTCAATGCATTCATGTTGATTGGACAAAATTTAAAATTTATCAGCCTGTTTCCAGAGAAACTCATATATTCCCTAATGAAATGTAATTTTTGCTACATTTATTTCAATCAAATTTCAAAAAATTGACTGCAGAGCTTGAAAAGGTGATGAATCATGTTGTTATTAGATGCACATATTAGATTTACTATTTCCAAAAAAATGCTCAAATTTGAATAGTTTTTAGAAAATTTGGAATTACACTCCTTACATTATATATAATTAAATGTTTAAATTTTATTTATTTTTCCCTTTTAATTTTATAACGTGCTCTATCAAAACTAACCTCTCAATTGAAGGCCACAAAATCTAAGTAGTGAGGGCACACAAATTTTGTATGGAGTACGGTTCAATTTTTGAGAGCCTCACTACTTAGATTTTGTGACTACCTTATTTATATAATTTAAATATTTCATTATTAAATAACAACATCACAAGAAACTATTGCAAACAAGTTTCCGCTTTTTCAACAGGCGTAGGTGGAACCACCATTATGAAATATTTAATTATTGATGGAAACTCTGCTGAAACCAGAATTTGTGCTGCTTCAGACGACATAGCAAAATATAACAACATTATTTTCACAAATAATACGTCAACCAAACCAGATAAATATCCAGGGATGCTATATTCTTATGGATGCCATTTATATATTGAAAACTGTTTTATTGCAAAAAATAACCAAAATGGACAATATTTGTTTGGAACTCATATTAATAGTGGTTCATGGGGGCTATTATTTCCAGGCTCAATAACAGTATCTAATTCTTATATTGACACAACAGAAAATTTATACAAATCAGGTCAAAAAGTTAATATAGGACCAAATAAAGATGTTTCTATTGAACTTCATCTTCATTCAACAGATCTCTGCCCTGGGACCAAATCAATAGTTTATATTCACAAAGAAAATAAAATCACAGATCATATTCATATTGAGGACCTTAGAAAATCTTTCCTCAAAAGAAGGTAACCTCTAACATCAGTATATTACAAACAAAATATTTTTTTTTTGAAATTTATCTCCATTCATCAAATTCTTTGTTTTGCAAAAATAAAGGAAGCAAAATTATTAATTAAATAAGTTTTGAAGACATTTTTGCAATAAAGGAAAGAATATTTTACTTTCTTCAAATTCATTTTCTTTAGTTATTTTTGATTTTCAGAGAAATAAAAAAATGTTTGAAATAAAAAAAAATCAATTAAAAAATTTTTTACTGTTGCAAGTATAATTCAGCAGTCTTATTTCCATTCTTAGCTGCCTTCTGGAAGTAGTTCTGTGCGAAAGCAGGATCTGCTGTAACACCCAAACCCTTCAAGAAAATGAGACCCATGTTGAAGAGTGCATCTGGATCATTAAGTTCATCAGCTGCCTTTCGAACCATCTTAACACCTTCGAGTGGTGCGAGTTTGACAACTTCTCCTTTGATGAACATTACTCCTAAGTTGTTCATAGCCTTTGCATAGCCTTTATCTGAAGAAATCTTGAGAAGTCTTGCAGCACCTTTCTTGTTCTCTTCAACACCTTTAGCGTTCATCAACATGATTGAGTAGTTGAAGATGGCTGCAGTAGAACCACCTTCTGCAGCAGTCTTAACGAGTTCTGCACCTTCTTCTTCGTTCTTTGGCAACAAGATACCATCTGACATTGTAACACCGATGTTGTTCTTTGCAGCAGGAACGTTCTGTGATGCAGCCAACTTCCATTCGTTCAAGACTTTCTCTTGGTCTGATTCGTAAAGAGAAACATTGAACTTGGCGACGGATTGTCCTTGAGATGCTGCCTGGTGGAACATCTTCGTTGCCTCTGCGTGATCTTTGTCAATACCACTTCCGTTCTCAAGTTTGTAAGCCAAGTTGTTGATAGCGCGTGGATGTCCTGCGTTTGCAGCAAGTCTGAAGTATCTGACTGCATCGATTTCGTTCTTTTCAACACCTGTTCCTTTGTCAAGAAGAATGCCGTAGTTGCATTGAGCAGCGACATTTCCGTTATCTGCGGCAACTTTGAACTTTTGTGCTGCGAGTTTTTCGTCTTTGTCGACACCTCTTCCTGTCAATAACATTGCGGCCATGTTGTTCATAGCTGCATAATGGTTCTGGTTCTGTGCACGAGCGTATGACTGGAATGCGAGGCGCTCGTTCTTGATGTTTCCACGGCCTTGTTCGAGGAGTCTTCCCAAAGAGAACTGGCCTTCAGCGATGTTCAATTTGGCTGCAACTGTGTAGTGCTTGAATGCTTCTGTGTCGTTCTTTGTGACACCGTGTCCGTACTCGCACTTCAAGCCTGCAATGACTTCCTTGTATCCTTCAACAGCAGCTTTGACAGCTTCATCATCTGCTGATTGTTTCTGTTTCGTAACGATTACGTTGATTTCCTTCTTTGCTTCTTCCAAGTTCTTCTCTGATTCTTGCAATGCTTTGTCCTTGGAACTGACTTCATCTCTCAAGTTGGAGCACTGGACTAAGAGTTTCTTGTTCTCTTCGTTTCTGTCTTCGCTTTCTTTTTCAAGTTGTGACTTAGCGTTCTCGAGTTCTTCGATTCTCTTGTCTTTCTCTGCAATTTGTGCTGAGTATTTGTTCTGTGTCTCGATGAGGATGTTTTGTGCTTCTTGTGCTCCTGATGATTGCAATTGCTTCAACTGTTCAATCTGTTGTGATAATTCACTAACTTCTGCTTCACGGCGTTTCTCTTCTTGGCTCTGGAGGTTCTTCATCTGTTCGATCTCTTGGTCTTTCTGTTTAAGAAGCTCTTCCTTGTTGTTGTTGAGATCTTCGATTTCTCTGAAACGCTTCTGTATTTCTTGGTCTTTTTCTTGCAACAACAAATCTTTCTTTGCAAGGTTCTGTTCGTTTTCACTGCGGAGTTGTGCCAATTCTGAGTTCTTTGCCTCTTTGATTGCGTTGATTTCGTCATCCTTCTTCTTCAACTCTTCATCTTTCTGTTGGTTGAGGTTCTGGAGTTGTTCGTTTGCTCTTGCAATTACAGCATTCATTTCATTGTCCTTGGCTTTGATCATGATATTTAACTGCTCATTTTGTTGTTGTGCTGCTGCTAACTGTTGCTTTAATTGTTCTAATTCACTTGAAAGATTTCCTGATTCATTGTTCTTCTGTTCGAAATCAGTTGTCATCTTTGCAAGTTGTTCTTCTTTAGCTGCTTTTTCGTTTTTGACATTTTCAAGTTCTTGCTCCTTAGAAGTCTTTTCATTCTTTACTTCTTCAAGTTCCTTTTCTTTAGCTTCTTTTTCGTTCTTTATGTTTTCGAGCTCTTGTTCCTTAGCTGTTTTCTCATTCTTAACATTTTCGAGCTCTTGTTCTTTTGCAGCTTTTTCATTTTTGACATTTTCGAGCTCTTGTTCTTTTGCAGCTTTTTCGTTTTTGACATTTTCAAGTTCCTTTTCTTTAGCTTCTTTTTCGTTCTTTATGTTTTCGAGCTCTTGTTCCTTAGCTGTTTTCTCATTCTTGACGTTTTCAAGTTCTTGTTCTTTTGCAGCTTTTTCGTTTTTAACTTCTTCGAGTTCTTTTTCTTTGGCTTCTTTTTCGTTCTTGAGATTCTGGAGTTCTTGTTCCTTTGCGTTGTTTTGCTGCTTGAGTTCTTCTGCTTCTTTCTCCTTTTGTGCCTTTTCTTCGTCAAGTTGTTTGACTTTTTCTTGGAATTCAAGGAGTTGTTTGTTGAGATTCTCGATCTGCTGAAGTGCATCGGCTGGAACCTTTGGATTCTTCAGTAAAGCGTATAATTTCTCGATTGTTTCGAAGAATTCAGCGCAAAGAGGGCAGAAATTAAGAGCTGGGTCTTCAAGTAATGTATCGATGTTCTTTGACATGACAACAAGTGCATCATGAAGATCGCCTTCACTCTCGTTGACCATCTTCTTGATTGTTGCGAGGATGTATTTACGACGATCGGCATTTCTCTTTGCAGCAGCGATATTCTCTGGTTTCTTGAAGAAATGGTAAAGCTCGGAAACTTGTGTGACAACGGATTTCTCATCTGGGGCTTCTACTTCAAGATCTTGTGGATCTAAGAAAACGTTGATTCCGCATTCATTCATTACAAGGAAAGCTTCATTGATTGAGTTTTCTGGAGTAATGGAATCGTAATCAACAATTTCTGGTAAGTAATGGTGCAAAATTGCGCAGAAAGGTAAGCCGCCATGCCAGGACTTGGAAAAGTCGACAATATTTACGCCATTATGGTTGGCTGTGCTCTCTTTGGCCCATTGGAGAAGCTTGTCACGACCTGAAATCTGTTCACCTTCTGCAAGATCTTCTTTGATTGCTTCAACTTGGAATTTGTTAATAACAGACCAAACAAGACCTAAAATAAGCTTCAATGTACCATTCAAAACATCTTCACCGCCAATACCGACTAATTTAATTTTCAAAGTATTCTGTATGAAATCGACAGCCATATGGCAGTTCTCAAGCATTTGTACTTTTTGCTTTGGATTCTTGTGCCATCTAGAAGGGAATGGCTTCTTTGATAAGATTTCGCATAAATTAATTAAAATTGTACCATCGCAAAGATCAGTCTTGATATCATTGATATTGAGCTTTCTTTGCTTCAAGTATGAATTCATCCATTTTGTAAAAGTGTTAATTTGGGTTTCTTCCCATGTTCTAGTCATGATATAAAAATAATGCTATAAAAAGACGATAGAATTGAATTCACTACAAACTTTTTATCTTTTATTTGATTAAAACTACTGGTACACAAACAGGATTTCCAACTTTAACAGAAAAATTTCACAAAATAATTTCGAAGGATTAGAAATTTTCAAGATATCGACGCAATATCTCAATATTACCATTGCAATGTACTATGTTTCCATAATTTCTACTATTAAATCTTCTAAAGTTCTAAATGACCTGATCTTTATGCAGATTATGTTTTTTTCTCTCCAAATTAATGAATAGATGAACTTACTTTCAACAAGATACCTTTTTGTACAGGTTTTTCCTTCTTGGGTTAAACAAATTATAAATGAATATTTTGAAACTTTATTTCAGCTTCAACTATCATGTTGATACCAATTACATAGAAATGGTGTTCATCATATTTCATTTGCCGCGCTTACTTTACTATTGCTTGTCTATTCGAATCCAAACCAATTGCATATTTTAGTTATTATATATACATTCATACGCCTGAGGTATATTTGAGATGTTTTATTATTATCAATTTTCGAACATTGCATATAATAAGATCCTTTCATATAATTTTTCCTCTCTTTCAATATAATTGAAAGAATTTTGGAATATATAAAACTTTGTGATGTATATTTCTAGATAATTACAAGTACAGTTTGGAAATAACAGTTATTCTTAAAAATATGATAAAAAATCAAGGTGACCGGTTCTTGAACCTATGCTTTATGAAAATCTACATGACAGACGAGTTCCATTATCCAGTATAGACATTCCAAATAGTAAAAATAAAAATTTCAGCAGTAATTCAACTTTTTACAATATTTTCATAACATACAGATCCGAAATTGGAGAAATCTCTTGTATTCTAAACAATAAGAGATTGATCCAACTATCTTCATATATTAAAATAGTTGGCGATTCAATTATAACATATTGCATCAGATTCGGATCATTTTGGAAATCACAATTTTTATCAAAATTAATCCACTTATCCACTAATGAATGGGAAGAAGTCTATCAAACAGAGTATTCAAGCGAAGTATTCAATCAAAATCGAATATACAATGGAAGCTTTGAAGAATTTTATGTTCGAGAAGTTTATTTCTCAAATCTTGGCAATGAAGGAGTTATTATTCTTGAAGAATCAGGGGTTAAATCACTTATTTCAACGTGTTCTTTCGAGAACTCATCTCGAAATAATCGAGGTGGATCGATTTATATCTCTCATGGTCAAAGCTCAATTCAAAAAGTTTGTAGTTTTGGGTCTCAAGCGAAAGAAATTGGAAATTTTTGCTATGTTTATAGTCCAGATTTTTCAACAAACATCAATGATTTTCTTGAATCATCGATAACATATAGCAATCGAGGAGATCTCACAAATTCTGATACAATCTATTTATATAATTTAAATATTTCAATATTAAATAATAACATCACAAGAAACTATTGCAAACAAGTTTCTGCAATTGCAACAGGTAATGGAGATGGAACTGCCATTATGAAATATTCAATTATTGATGGAAACTCTGCGGAAACCAGAATTTGTGTTGCTTTAAACGACATAGCAAAATATAACAACATTATTTTCACAAATAATACGTCAACCAAACCAGATAAATATCCAGGGATGCTATATTCTTATGGATGCCATTTATATATTGAAAACTGTTTTATTGCAAAAAATAACCAAAATGGACAATATTTGTTTGGAACTTTTAATAATAGTAATTCATGGGGGCTAGTATTTCCAGGCTCAGTAACAGTATATGATTCTTATATTGACACAACAGAAAATTTATACAAATCAGGTCAAAAAGTTAATATAGGACCAAATAAAGATGTTTCTATTGAACTTCTTCTTCATTCAACAGATCTCTGCCCTGGGGCCAAATCAATAGTTTATATTCACACAGAAAATAAAATCACAGATCCTATTCATATTGAGTTCTCACGTTTTTTTTACTTATCGTCACTTATTTTCTTTTCAAAATTAAAAAATTAATTGTAAAAATTTTTTACTGTTGCAAGTATAATTCAGCAGTCTTATTTCCATTCTTAGCTGCCTTCTGGAAGTAGTTCTGTGCGAAAGCAGGATCTGCTGTAACACCCAAACCCTTCAAGAAAATGAGACCCATGTTGAAGAGTGCATCTGGATCATTAAGTTCATCAGCTGCCTTTCGAACCATCTTAACACCTTCGAGTGGTGCGAGTTTGACAACTTCTCCTTTGATGAACATTACTCCTAAGTTGTTCATAGCCTTTGCACATCCTTTATCAGAAGAAATCTTGAGAAGTCTTGCAGCATCTTTCTTGTTTTTAATATTATATAAAAATGAATTTTAGTGCAGCAAAATAGTTTATCTATATAAAACTAAAAATTTTCACACAGCATTTCTCTTAAATTAGCAATAATTGGTCGAATGATATTGACGATTTATCGATTATATGGTCATTTTAATGGATGGTATTTCATAATTGTCATTACTTGAACAATATATACTATAGGGTCATTTTGTTATTGAAATATCAATAATTTCAGACATGAATTTCTGTTTTGTTTAAAAAAATCACGGTTTTCTCAAAAGTCGATTGACCAATAAGAAATGAATTCATGAGAATAGCAAGAACTGAAATATTTTCCATGGAAAGTCTTTTTTTGAGAGTTATGCAAAAAAGACCTATAAAAATCTCCTAAATAGGAATCTCTATTAAATTGCACGAGATATTTGTTCGAAGGATAACAGGTTGCAGTTATTTCTTCACAAAAATGTATTCTGAAAATTGAATTATTTTGAGAAGGTGTTGACCCCTTATCATCCAATTTGAAAGAACCCGTCAACCTCCCAATTCAGAGAAATTGAAATAAGCCCATACACTGTTATTCCTGAGTTCACTTTTATCTCTGCATGTCAACAGTACGCGAGATATTCGAGAAAGATGAAGTTGCAGGCCTCAAGGCTTTCGAAGAGAAGATCAAACCACTTGGTTTATCTGAGGGCGCAAAGGAAAAATTACTTTACATGTTCAAGTCCGCCTTTTCCAAGGCATCTGCTGCCGATTGCATGATTGACTGGCAATACGTTGTTCCACTTACAGACAAGGAATAAACACCATACGAGACACTTAAGGATCCAGAAAATCCAGCTGAACTCCTCAAGAAGCTCGTTATCGTCAAGCTCAATGGTGACCTTGGCACAACAATGGGCTGCACAGGACCAAAGTCTCTCATCTCCTGCAGAAACGGCAAGTCATTCTTCGACATTGTTGTTGACCAGGTTAAGGAGCTCAACGACAAGTACGGAACTGATGTTCCACTTGTTCTCATGCACTCCTTCAACACAGACGACATCATGAGACCACATGTTGAAGCTGTCAAGGATGTCAAAGTTATCACATTCAACCAAAACAAGTTCCCACGTATCTACACAGACACACTTGAGCCAGTCCCAGAGAATGCCGAGTCCCCAATCTCAATGTGGAACCCACCAGGCCACGCAGATGTTTACCATTGCCTCCGTGAGTCTGGCTTACTTGACAAGTTCCTCGCCGAAGGAAAGACAATCATGATGATCTCCAACATCGATAACCTTGGCTCTGTTGTCGACCTCAAGGTTCTCAACAAGGCAATTACAGAAAACCGCTCATACATGGCCGAAACAGTCCTCAAGACACTTGATGACTGGAAGGGTGGCATGCCAATCATGTACAAGGGCCACATGAAGCTTCTTGAAACAGCTATTGTTCCAAAGGAGCATTTCAACGATTACACAGATATGAACTTCCTCAACTACTTCCACGCCAACAACTTATGGGTCAACCTTGTTACACTCAAGCAGGATCTTTCCGATGGAACACTCAAGCTCGATACAATGAGAAACTACAAGAAGTACAACAACCGTGAAATTGTACAATTAGAAGCTGCTTGCGGCTCTGCAATCCAGTCTTTCAAGGATTCATGCGCTGTCAGAGTTCCAAGAAACAGATTCCTTCCAGTCAAGTCTTGCAACGAATTACTATTAGTCAGAGCTAACGTTTACATCATGGAAGGATCACACTTTGTCCGCAATCCAGCCAGAAAGATCGCTGACCTTCCATCCATCCAACTTTCTCAGATCTACCAGCACGTCGAAGACTTCGAGAAGAGATTCCCAGAAGCTCCAGATATGGTAGATCTCGTCAAGCTCCACGTCGATGGCGATGTCTTCTTCGGCAAGAACATCAAACTTGTCGGAAACGTTGACATCCAGATTCCAGCTGGCCAGACACTCACAATCCCAGACGGAAAGGTTCTCAAGGACTGCACAATTCGCAGTGCTGCTGATTTGTAAACTATTTTCTTACTTAATTTAAATTTATTTTATTTGAATGTTAAATTATGACCTATGAACATAGCTCTCAAATGTATCTTAGATAGATACAATCATTCCAAAAAAGCACCAATGAATCTTGAAAATTTGAAATCAAATCTGGCTAACAGATGCAGAATTGGTTTTTATTTCTACTATCTTTACAATCAATTTGAACTGTAAATAATTTCTATTTGTTTTTGTACTATTTGAATTTACATCAAATTTCACACAAAAAATCTTCAACGCACGTTTAAAATTATGAATTCCTTTCTCAAGCGTATTTCTGCACCTGTTCAAACATACACTCCAAAGGAATCATCATATAATGTCAAAGAGAACAACAATTTCTTAGATACTACAGAGGATTTCGTAAATGCACAGAAGAATAATTATGTTCAGCTGCCTAACAAGTATAACATTCTACTATCTCAAATGGAAGAGATTTTTGCAATATTTGCATTAAAAAGAAATTCTCAATCATATCCAAAATCAATCGAATTTAACAAATTAAGAACTGGTGTTGAACAAGGCGGTCATTCTTTTACACAAGAGACACTAGCTTCAATTTTATATCTGATTCCAAAAAGAGAACTTGTTGCAAAATGGGTTAATGATGCAAGATTAAAACGAATCTACAAACTTAAAGTGCTTCTAATGCAAAAGCCAGCTGTTGATGAAATACTTAAAGAAGCACGTCAGACTTTGACATCAGCATTGATAAAAAATCATGATCAATGGTGCCAAAGAAATAAGATAAACGTTCCTCAAGGAATAACAATTTTACATCCTAATTTTCCTTTACAGGAACAAGTACTTATTCCAGCACAGCATATCCCTCCAACACCTCAATCAGGAAATATTGACCAGTTCTTCGTTCAAGAACGAAAACAGTACGAAGAGATCCAACCAATGATAGAAGAGAAAAAAGCAAGATTTTTGTCTGAAAATTCAGCATTTACCACAAATAAGAAAATTATGGATCGCTATGCAGATAAACAAGTCAGATTTGCATGCTGGAAAGAAGTATACGGAAAAGAATCCGAAAAACAGAAGGAATCTGCAACTCTACTTTCATTGAATAAGATTATTCGTGAAACATTCGTTTCTAAGAAAAAGACGGTTCTTAGATTATCAGATCTTTTTGATGGTATTAGAAACCACAAACAATATACGTCCGCAACTGATTTCGACACGATTAATGGTCTTGTCGATAAAGTTGTTGAAAAATCTAATGGAGTTTATGAGCTATTCACATGCCAAAAAGATAAATTCCTCCGCTATAATTCGAAGAGACAACTTGGAGCTGTAACTTCAATTATATATAAAAATAGTCAAAATCCAATAGAATGCATTTTGTAAATGTTATTATAATAAACACTTATATATTAGATATATACATTTTCCCACTAATTTCATTAAATATTTATCAACTTTCAAAATCATATGATATTATCTCATTCAACCACAGAATGATCATACATAACAGGAAGGATATTAAAAGACTTCATTTATTATGATTGATTTAACTAAAAGAAAGTAGAAATATCTCAATACTTATCAAAAGACATATTAATAACCAATTCCAGAGATGAACGAAACATCAATTGGATTAGGTTCTTGTATGCGCTATAATTGCAGAAAAAAATTGTATTAAAAAATATTGTAGTCCGATAAATGCATATTTACTTTATGCAGCTGATGGCTGAAGTTCAGTCTGCCTCTCTTCTTCTTTCTCGGCTGATGGAATCTCTGGGATGTTATATTCTTCAGCAATTTCGTCTTCGAGGATATTAAGAAGATCATTACTTTCTGCTTCAACATCACCTTCTGGTGTTGAAATGATTTGAGCTGTTTCTGAAACGCGGCCACGAATCTTATCGTATTTGACTGCAGCAGCGGCGATTTTTTGCATATCCATCTGTCCAACAGATTTTTCTAACTCTTTGACAACAGCATCTAAGCTTTTAGCCATTTTCGCTTGAACTTCTGCCATCTTTAAATCAAGAACCATAGATGAGATCTTTGCAGCGTTTTGCTGTAAAAGAAGTGCTTGTTGTTGAGATCTGATAGCATTGTTTGCATAAATTTTGGCGAATTCACGGTTTCCCTTTTGCAATTCAGCCTTTGCTTTTCTCTTTTCCTTTTCGGCGTTTTTCTCTTCGCGAGCAGCTTCCTTGTTGAGCATTTTTTCTTGAACTCTCAACTTGAGTTGCATATCAAGTGTAGAAGCCATTTTTATTTTTGCGTTGTCAAATTCCCGGTTATTTTTTTTCACTTCCCTGCTTTATGAAATCCCACACAATCAACTCTAATTTAAACAACAAAAAATTTGGAGCTAAATTTATGCATTAGAAGTCCAAAAATTGTCAATTCATTCTTGTTGTCATATTACAAGCTATATTGTCTTAGGGAAAACTTTTAACAGAACATCATTCCATTTCCATGTTCTCCAAAGCATATTGATATTAATCGGTGATATTTTTTCACAAACTCCATAAATAGTAAAGAGTTATTGACGATTCATAAATAACAGTAGTAGTACATATGATTGACAGATAGTGGATTCCTCAATTATAAAAAATAAAAATGATTTTGATTTGATTTCAGTAAAAAAGACCATCTGGAATAAAAATTTTGATGTTTTTAAGAATATTATGAGATGTCATAGTGAATATCATGATAAAATATATTTGATATGACACATTAGTTTTGGGAGGAGAAAAATTGACAAATAAGAATTTTATAATGTCTGATATTGAAGCCCTCAAAAGCCAGCTTAGCCTTGTTGATCAGGCAACAGATAATGCTACATCAAGCCTCAGCCAGAGGACAAATTATATCGGACTTGATTGGGAAATTGGAATGGGCGTTTCAGCAAGTAGTGGCGATACCAATCCAGATCCTTTCATTTCCCTTAAGTTCAAGGGCGTTAATAACAACGGAAATATTGAAGAGCATCTTGTTAGACTTACTCCTCAGCAATTTTCTGAATTCGCTCAAAGTGTTTCTAGAATGCAGAAATCTATCTCTTCTTATAATTAAAATAGTATTTTAATGTAAATCTTATTATTACAGCTATTACAAATTACATTAAGTCGATTTTTTTTACATAAATATATCATATGAGTTTAAAAAAGTCAATTTTTTTTGAGAAATACACTCTAGAATGGGATGAGGAAAAACAAAGAAATCGATTAATTAACATAATACAAATCTTTTAAAAATCAGTGAATTCTTCGTCATCGTCATTCTTCAACTCGAAATCATTATCTTCTTCGATATCATCTGTGCGTTTCTTCTTCTTTTGAGCTGGCTGATCATCTTCGTCGTTTTCATCGTCATCTTCATCATCTTCAGCCTTTTGTGAAGGATTTTCTGGCTCTACATCATCTTCAAAGTATGGATCATCATCTACAGGATCATCCAGTTCTGGTAATGGCTTTGGAGTTGGCGTTGGAGTTGCAACAGTTAATGCGCACTTCTGATTGCGTAAGAAATGAACAATTGAATCCTTATCTTCTTCACCGGTGTAAGGAGTCCATTTTCCGCTTTTAACAAAGAAAGCAGAATAAGATTTTCCGGCAAGTTTCTTATTTATTTCAGTAGATTCACTTCTATCGACAGCGAAGAACTTGGCACCACGACGGACGGCAGATTCTGCGAGTCTTGAAGCGTTATGTAATTGTTGTGATTCTTGATCCATTGGCTTATCAACAATAACAAAATTGCAAAGAGGCTTCTTTGTAATGTTGAGAAGATCCTTTGGAGCAATATAAAGTAAGTTATTTGCGTTGGATGTTGGTCTAATTCCGGAACCTTGACGAATGAATTTAACAAAACTGTCAACATCGAAGTTTCTATTGTATCTCTTTGGATGTGTGTTTGTTTTGAAGTATACATGCCATGCAGGATAATCTCTAACTGATGAAGATTCGCAAACATCAGTTGCACGATCACAATCAAGCTGACCAAACATTACTCTTTCCTCACGAGAATACATCCTACTGACTTCTTCGAAAACTTCTTCAACGGAATCACAAGCTGGGCAATTTTTTTGATAGAAATGAATTACACGGATGTTATCTTCAACACCAGTGAATGCAAAGTATGAATCTTTTATCAAATTCGCAACTGTTGGAGCATTAATAATGTTAAGAACTGTGAACAAAATCATTTTTGGTTGAACGGTTTTTTTCTTATTTTGGAAATTTCATAGCTGAAATCGTGCTTTCTTCTCATCATTACATTGCAAAATGAGTTACAAATAAGAGTTATAATTAAATTTGTGAAAAACCATGAAATTAGGGCAAATTTCTTTTGATTTTTCCAATTTCACAGTTCTAAAGATAAATTAAATTCTATATTTAAAATCTTCAAGGTACCTATTGTTATTGTTTAGAAGATGATATTCAAAAAAAATGACTATGAATAATCAAGTTTATTCATTCTACATAAAAAATAGCATGGCTTAAGATTTTAAGCCTTTGGATCCTCATCGGTGTTATCAAGGGATTCGGCCTTATTTTCATCGACTTCTCTAACGAACCAGAAGCCGAAGAATGTGCCGCAGAGGGTAATAATACCGTAGAAGAGGAAGAGACCAAGGGTGGTGATCTTCTTCTTAAGTGGATCGGAAATGAAGACAATGATGAATGAGAGGAGCCATGAGGTCATGCCGTTGATGGATGAAGCCATTGGACGAACTGATGGTGGGAAGAGCTCTGGAGAAGAGTACCATGGCATTGGGGCAAGACCAAGACCGAAGCCGAATTGGTAAAGGAAGATAAGAACAACAGGAAGAATGTTTGACCAGTTAAACTTATCATTGAAGCCGAAAACAATAAGTGAAGCAGCACATAAGAGGCCAGAGATTGTCCACATTGCACGACGGCCTAAAACTTTAATGAGACCACCGGAGAAGAAGCAAGCAACAAGTTGTGCTGTTGTAGCAATGATTGACTGATAACCGGGTGATAATCCTTCAATATTAGCTTTCTTGAAAAGTCCCTTGAGATCTGCAAGAATAGCGTTGATGCCAGAGAATTGCTGTGTAAGCATGATAAGTAAAAGGACAACAAGTGGCCAGATGTACTTGGCTTGGAAGATTGACTCGGAAGTTTGTTCCTTGTTATCTTCACCATCACCTTGGCTTTTGATTGAAGTTTCTGGAATTAGCCAGATAAGACCGCATTGGACAGCATGAGAAACAGCTGCATAAATGCACATTACAAATGGATCTTGATATTCACCAATGAAATAAAGAATGATGATACCAATAACAATGCAAATTTGATTGAAGGTACCATAAAGACCAGTTTGTTCGGCTGGGGCAACTTCCAGAAGAAGAAGTGGGCCAAGGGATGAAAATGCACCGAGTATGAAACCTTGAAGAATACGCATGACGAAGCCCATCCAGAATGTCTTAGCTTTCATGAAAGCTAAGATCACCCAGAAGATTATTGAGAGAATATTTACAATGAGAACAACTAAACGGCGGCCAAGTCCAAATTTGAAGAGAAGTGTAGGGATATAAGGACCGATAGCACCTGTAAGTTGGGTAATAGCAACAAATAAGTTCCAATTTGTGTCACTTGGGAAACTTGAGCCCCATTGTTCCAGGAATTTGTCATGTGCTGGGGATGGATAACCAATAATGTATCCAAAACCAAGAGGAGTGAAGCATACAATTAATGCATATAAAAGTTCGCGACGGAATAACGAAGCCATGACTTTATATCTGAAGTTTTATAAAATGAACTCATTTTATTTCATTGTAACCTCTCAATTTTTTTGAGAAGTTTATGAAATCTTTTGATATCAATATCGAATTGAGTCTATAATCTTAAATTTTGGAATATTTTGATGCAGTAATATTGTTTATAATTATTTTAGAATGATGCATAATGAGAGGCTACTTATAATTGAAAAATTGAAATAAAATTGATAGGACATTTGAAATTTGTTACGGGACCACTATACATCGTATTAGTTTGTATAAATCAATAAATATATCAGGTGAAAAGTTCTATAAATTGTATCTACTTCTTCATTTAATTAATTGAGAAAATTAAATAAATTCATGATTGTTAATTAATGAGACAATCCCTATGGATCAACCCAAATTTCGACTCCTAGAGATAATTTTGCGGAAATAAAAGATGACAGAATTCAATGAGTTGAATAAAATTTCAATTATCAGAAAAAGCATTGTAAAGCACGCATCGGAGAAAACTGAATGCACTTTTAAAATGTAATTTGTGCAGTTGCCATTATGTTACACCAAATTATCCGTGATTTCACGGGTAAGAAAAAAGTTTATTTAAACATTCATTTTTGATGTTTTGTTCGACATTCACATAGACACAGTGTGAGATTATGTTGTAAACAGAAATTCATCAAAAGTGACACCTCAGAAAAGCTAAAATATTGAATTTTTGGAACTTTTGATAGAGCACGTTTTTAAATATTAATTAAAGTAAATGTATATTTTGTAAAGATTCTTTTAAATAAAAAATAAAATTTTGAAGAAGAACACAAAATCTTCTGAAAAATAATATCACATAAACTCATATTATTTTCTAATATATAACTATTTTATATAAAAATCAAATTCAATGATCTTAAAAGCGAAGGATAAACCTCAAAAATTACGAATATAATGAGTGGGAATATAATGCTTATCTATCATAAAACCATATGAAATATCAATTTTTGCTTTACGCCTAATTTTTGACGACAATTAGCAAAAAATGTTAAATGTTAACACTCAGTCCATTTGAATATGAAAAATAAAATTGACTTTGATTAAATGTTTTTATTTATCATGCAATTCTTCTTGCGACCAAAGATTTGAATAAAAGTTCAAAAAATAAGATAGCTTAATAAATAATATACGGTAGTGTTTACTAATAGATGAATAGTATATAAATTCTATTAAAATGGATTTGATCCAAAAAAATATAAAACCAAAAATAATTGTTATAATTTAAATGAAGAAGTAATTTAAAACGATTTTATTTATGATCAAATTTTATATATTTTTTTGGATCAAATCCATTTTAATAGAATTTATATACTATTCATCTATTAGTAAACACTACCGTATATTATTTTTTAAGCTATCTTATTTTTTGAAATTTTATAAAGGTGACCAAACTATTTTTTGAAAGTCCGCCATAACTTTAATGGTACTATTTCAGCGTGTACAATGAATACAAAAATTCTAAGAGTGCCACATAAAATAGTACTTTAGACTTGAGTTAATGCTACCAAGCAAATGTTAAAAAGATGACTTTAGTGTTTTGATAATCAAAGATTAAAATCATTATTGTCTAAATCAATAATCATAACGACAGAAGTTAATGTTTTTTCATCAGTGCTTTAAATCCACTTTTAAAAGTATACCTCAAAAATCAAAATATCAAAAAAAATTGGCCGATAGGTTTGGCTTTAATTTTTGTCTGCTTTTATGATTTGATATGGATGTTATAATTTTAAAAGTTGAGCCAAATTCACCAATAGATTTTTGAGATTTGCAAATACTCAATAATTTTCAGCGTGTTATCTTTTATTAAAAGAACTATTTGGTTTCAGTATCATATAAATTGATATTTACTTTCTATTTGAACCTTCATTTAGCTAATGATTTAATAATACAGATTTCATCTAGTCCTTATAAGAGAATTTTGAATTTGTTATAATAAAAAAACAAACAGATATAGCTTACACTTCTATAATAAAGATACCTTTTATAGAAATCAGTATGAAATGTGTTTTGGCTTATTGGAAGCATATCAGACATAATCGCCATAATCAAAAAATCTATATACCCAATAAGTAATAAATTTGTCGATATAGATTTTCCATAAAATTAGTTTTTAGTCTGATCTTAAAATAAATTTAATTTTTTATAAAAAAAAATCACATTTAAAAGTACCTTTTTAGTAGCTCGAAATCCTGTTGGTGGATTTGGGGCGTACTTCAAAATTAGCTTTTCTTCTACATATGCAAGCTATATTTTAAATATGGGGCAAATCGGATCGGCGAAAGGAGTTTAGTTACCTTTAATTTTATTCAAATCTTTGGTCGCAAGAAGAATTGCATGATAAATAAAAACATTTAATCAAAGTCAATTTTATTTTTCATATTCAAATGGACTGAGTGTTAACATTTAACATTTTTTGCTAATTGTCGTCAAAAATTAGGCGTAAAGCAAAAATTGATATTTCATATGGTTTTATGATAGATAAGCATTATATTCCCACTCATTATATTCGTAAATTTTGAGGTTTATCCTTCGCTTTTAAGATCATTGAATTTGATTTTTATATAAAATAGTTATATATTAGAAAATAATATGAGTTTATGTGATATTATTTTTCAGAAGATTTCATTCTATATGCCTATGAAAAGTACTCTCAAAACTAACTTTTCCCTAATTATAATTAAATCTAGAATATTGTATTATGCTTAGTATTATTTCATTTTTCTCATTCAATTTAGAATTTACAAATGTCAAAAAATTGAGAGCTGTCACTTTTGATGAATTTCTGTTTATTACAATTATACTGATTAATATTGAAAATTGTAAAAGAATTAAAAAAAAGGTTCCTAAATTCATTCATTGAAAATTATTATGATATTCATGATATTATATACTACGCAGGGATTTCAAATCTCAAATAAAAATGAAAATATAGTCAACTTGGGGCGAAAAATCGGATTGCAATAAATTTTTTTATACTTAGTTGATAGATGTATTGGTTACATTTTACATCGAAATACTCAATTTAAAACAATGAAGTCATATGTTTTACATGATTCGTATTGGTAAAAAAGGGGGTTGGCGTCCTAAGGCGTCCTAGTGTAAATTTCTCAAAATTGTGATATTTACATCACATTTTTGAAAGGTTTATGGGCGTCCTAAGGGAAAATTGAATAGCTAGGGCGTCCCGAATTTTCATTCTAAGATTTAAATATATTATATACTTAAGTATAATACAAGCAATATAAAAATTAAATTTTTATTATGTTAACTTATAAGAAATTTTTTTGAATTATCGTTGATTTATTGTAATCTTTCCAGGCTATACTTTTGAAATCAACTTTACCTGTCATACGCATTAATGTAGTAGATGTCCAGGTGTAGCTATTATATCCCAGCAACATTGGTATTTTATCATTGTAAGATATCAAAATGAAGCGTTTTTTCAGATATAATTTTTCGTAAATTTTTCAAAAATAAGATGGTAAAAAAGCCTCGACTTGCTCGAAAAATAACAATTTTTTTACTTGTAAAAATAACCCTTTTACAGCATGGGCAGCTATTCAATCACTATTTCTTTTTCTAAAAGTATATTTTTCAAAAAAAATTAAGATCAAATTCGACAATTTCTTGATGAAAGCAAAAATATTACACATACTTCTAGATGCATGGTATAAAATATGCAATTATTCAATCAATTCGCATGATTTGAAAAAAAAATCTAAATTTGATAAAAATGTAGAAATTTTTTATTTTTAACTTGAGATTCGATTTTTTGATCCAATTTGTGAATTTTTTTTGATCGGAATTTCAATTAATTTGTTGATCAAAAATGACCTCACAATGTTTGATCATAAGTGAAGTCATCTTCATGGGTATTTAGAAATTCCAAGAGAAATTGCTTATTTCTCGCAGATGTAATATCTGAGAAAATCGAATTTAAATATTCATAGAAACCCAAATCATTCTCCGGTTCGAATAATTCATCTGTTGCTTTTTCTGTTTTTTCTATGAATTTTAATAATTTGATTAATAAATCTTCATCAGGAAGAATTATTGCTGCATTTGTGATAAAATTCCATATTGAGGTAATATGGCAATAATTACATTTATAAAATGTAATTTTATCCAAAATTTTTTGGCAAATTCGCATAATAGCATTAATATTTGAAGCTGAGATTAAACCTGTGATTACTTCTGTAACTTTTGGAAAATCATCGCAATTTAATATCTCTTTATATTGAATTGAGAAATAAAAAAAATCAAATGGATTCATTTCTTCAATTTCAAGGAGATTGTAAAAATTGATAGAAGTGTTATTGCAACAAATTGTATTTGCAGCAAAAAATATCATTTGCTCGATTCCATTTTTGGAATAAATTTGCTGGAACAATGTTAAATTAAAACAGTTGCTTAATTTTTCTTCATTGTTTTCATAAAAAAGTAACAAGTTTGCAACTGAAATTTCAAAATTTTGATAATTGCCAGTTATTTCAGTAAATATATATATTTGCTTTTCTTCATCTAAAAATGGCAAATATTGATTTGCAATATTAACTAAAGTTTGGGATAAATTGTTCCAGTTTGATTTTACAATTTGTGAGCACATTATGTAATATGTAAATTTATCCGCTTTGTAGGAATTTAAAATTGTTTGTTGTTCTGTTTCAGTTAAATTACTGAATTTTTCAAGATTAATATTGTGATAAAAAATAGAATCCTTGAAACATTCTGATATCTTTTCAATGTTTAAAACGGATGCTAAAAAATGTAAAAGAACTTCATCAGTCACTGTGATTTTTTTGAAAAATTTATCCCAATTCAAGCATCCAATTGATCTTTCTGTCATTGTACTTATGCATTGATAAAGTTGATTTAATGAATCCGAAGAATAATCATTATGCTTGACTAGTTGAGTTAGTTGATACAGACTGTCGTCAGCCATTTTAAAAAAATGAATAAAATTATATAGTAAATTATATTTGTGAAATTTGTGACGCTACATTCAATCTAAGACCAATATCTCAAAGAATTACTCATTTAAGTATTACTTTTCATTGTTTTTTAAAAAATATCTTTGCTTATTTGTTCACTTTTTTGACATTTATTATATGCTTTTTATCATATTTCCGATGATATGAATATATATTCTATATAAGAATGACGCTACATTCAATCTAAGACCAATATCTCAAAGAATTACTCATTTAAGTATTACTTTTCATTTTTGATTCAATTTTCGAACGGTTTTCGTAAATTTTGCATCATTTCATTTTTTAATGGGAAAATCATCTATATTTAATCAAAAAGAGCAAACTTTACAGACGAAAATAAAATATTTATCAGGGAACAATCTGATAAATACCAAAAATCAACATCGAAACATGAAAAAACGAATATAATCAAACAAGTTCTTCAATATTTTAATATTAAATACGCCGAAAATGAATCTAAAGCTGTCAGAAGATATTTTAGTTATATTGCAGTTAAAAATATTCCCGCAGTTACTGGAAAATATCCTGATACAATTGTTCGCAAAGATATGCTTTATTCGCATGATCATACAAATATTATTAATTCAAATAATATTGAACGTTACTACCGTTGCATCGATCATTCTTGTCAAGCACGTTATTTAGTTAAAATTGAGAACAGTTCAGTTTCCGAAGATTTACAAAAGGAAGTTAGTATACATAAGTCGTGTACTGAGGCACTGCGCTCCTCCGTACACCACTTAGCGGTTTTGACACTTTACGAAACCGGTAACGTATATTTTACAATACAACCATAACACCAACTTAACCTTAAATATTTACAAAACCATTAACGTATATTTTACAACACAAACGACAACACTAACTTAACCTTAAATATTTACAAAGCCACCAACCACTTCACCTCACTAATGTTTTCACAAACGACTTCACTAATGAAAAAATAAACGTTCTCACTAACGTTCCCACTAATGTTCTCACTTACAAAAGTATTGCAACTCTTCCCATTGCTGTGCTTCACACAATAGTTCATATTCTTCAGTATCGCTGCTGTCGCTCCAATCGTCAGAGTCAAAGTCACTGTCAAAATAAATGTTAGTAAGTTTTGACAAAGCTAATGAAACACGCTTACCGTTTGTATCGTATGCTTGTATAAACTTTCCATTCTTCATTCCTTCATAAACGCTCAAACTAACTTTACCCTTTCTCCCTCGTATCTGATAGAATGTATTTTCACGAGGAACGAAGAACAAATTCTTGAACTCATGACCGTTGTAGTTTGTTATCTCAATAGTTTTCGTCATTTATATAAAAATAAACTTAAAAATAAACTTAAAAATAAATGATATCACCACCCTCACACGTATGAAAACATAGCACAAAAATAAATTTAGGTGAAGTGGTGAGATCTCACCTCTTTTTTCACCCTGTTGAATTCATTGCTTTATAACTCTCTTCCTTTCTCCAACTCTTCTAACTTCTTCTTAAGTTCAGCAATGTTGTCCTCATGAAGTTTAATCTTCCTTAATATACCTTCTTTATCTAATGGTTGCTTTATCTTTCTAAACTGAACTCTACCATCCTTCATAGTATGAATGTAAAAACCTTCTGGAATAGTTCCTGATTTAATGTATTCTACCAAAAACTTTTGTTTCATTGCTTCAGTGACTTTAGTCGTCATTTTACTCTAAGGTGAAGCTAGCACAGCGATAATGGATTTCATGACTTTTTAGTATTTCATGCAATCTTAACAGATAGCCTTACAAGTACTTCCAGTGTCCCTAGCTGTCCCTCCTTTTTATATAACTCCATGACATTTATAATCTCGCGAAACTTAACAGGTAGCATAACAGATTAAAATCAGATGAGGTTTTGAACCAAAATTTCTAAGCAACGTTGTCAAGGATTTTTGAGGAACTAGGGACAGAGTGTGGCAAAGTCCAAGATTTAATTTATCTTCATCTGTTTCATCAGCTATCTCATCTAATATGCCAATATTTTATTCATAACTCGTGGCAAACTCACTAACTTTCATTATGTTCATCTACATGCTTCATCTGATAGAAAGTATGACTTTCATTAACTCTGTGAGATAATGAAAACTACTAGGGACAGAGACCATGGCAAAGTTTATGACTTTCATTATTTCCAGAACTTAATGAAAACTACTAGGGACAGAGACCATGGCAAAGTTCATGATTTAATTTATTCTCTCACTAACAAAAACACAAACTCCAACACTAACGACAAAAATAAATGTCCTCACTTCTTAACAAAGTAATATGTGCTTCTTACACCACCATAGCTCAAACGTTTCTTTTCGAACATCGATTGAAACTTATTTTGAGCCATTGGCTTTAGTCTCTTTTTCTTCAAATACGCCAAGAAATCTTCTTCACATCTTTTCACTTCATAGCCTTCTTTAAACTCCTCCTTGTTAAGTTCTATGAAATCCTTTATCTCATTCTTTGTTGCAATGGCTTCTTCACGAACGACATCGTGAACTATTTCAACACTGTTCTCATGTATGACCTCCTCACTGTTCTCATGAACTATTTCAACACTGTTCTCATGAACGACCTCCTCACTGTCTTTCATAAGCGTTTCAAAGTCTCCTTTACTCATTACTTCAATCTCATGCTGTTCACAGTAGTACTTAAACTCACTGTATATGTTTTGTCATGACTTCATCGTAAATGTTTTGTCATGACTTCATCGTAATGAACGTATATGTTTTGTCATGACTTCATCGTATATGTTTTGTCATGATTTCATCGTATATGCTTTGTCAAGACTTCATCGTATATGCTTTGTCATGATTTCATCGTAAATGATTTGTTATGATTTCATCGTAAATGCTTTGTCATGACTTCATCGTATATGCTTTGTCGAACTTAAACGTATATGTTTTGTCAAAACTTCTTCGTATATGTTTTGTCATGACTTCTTCGTAAACTCTATGTCAAACATGAACGTAAATGTTTTGTCATGACTTCTTCGTATATGTTTTGTCATGACTTCTTCGTATATGTACCAGATGCAAAGTATTTTGACGGCTTGTTTTGCTCCAGACACTAAGCTTCCTAAAGACTGGTTTAGGAACCAAAGCACCATTGAACTCTTAAGTGAAGCACAGCGAGACATACTTTTTTCTGAAAACAGTGAAGAACAGCGAGTAGGTAAAAAATCCCAGTCGCCAAAACTCTATGAAAACCGTGAAAAATTGCCAAACGGTTTGAGAGGATATTATGTTCATAGACTTCTCGTAAATAATGTGGCACAATGGGCTTCAGCTCGCTATTCATGGTATGTTTGTAAACTTCTTGACGAACTTCACAGACAAGAACGCGAAGATATGGAAAAGAAACTTCTTCATATATGTTTTGTCATGATTTCATCGTTTATGTTTTCATTAATGATTTCATAAATGTTTTGTCATGATTTCTTCGTATATGTTTTGTCATGATTTCTTCGTATATGCTTTGTCATGACTTCATCGTATATATTTTGTCATGATTTCTTCGTATATGCTTTGTCAAACATAAACGTATATGTTTTGTCATGATTTCATCGTAATGAACGTATATGTTTTGTCAAAACTTCTTCGTAAATGCTTTGTCATGACTTCTTCGTATATGTTTTGTCATGATTTCATCGTAATGAACGTATATGTTTTGTCAAAACTTCTTCGTAAATGCTTTGTCATGACTTCTTCGTATATGTTTTGTCATGATGCAAAAATAATGAGTTCATTTACTCACAATATTTTTGTACAAAATGTAAAGTATGGCGGTTTGAAACCGTCGGGAACCTTCACTTTTTTGACGAAGTGCAAATCTTCACTTCGTGTCAAAACTTCATCGTATATGTTTTGTCAAACATGAACGTAAATGTTTTGTCATGACTTCATCGTAATGAACGTATATGTTTTGTCAAGACTTCATCGTATATGCTTTGTCAAACATGAACGTAAACTCTATGTCAAACATGAACGTAAACTCTATGTCATGACTTCATCGTATATGTTTTGTCATGACTTCATCGTATATGCTTTGTCATGATTTCATCGTAATGAACGTATATATTTTGTCAAACATGAACGTAAACTCTATGTCAAACATGAACGTATATGCTTTGTCATGATTTAATCGTAAATGTTTTGTCAAGACTTCATCGTAAATGATTTGTCATGACTTCTTCGTATATGTTTTGTCGAAACTTCATCGTATATGCTTTGTCAAAACTTCTTCGTAATGAGTGTAAATGACCCAAAAATAATGTTTAGGTGAAGAGGTGAGATTTCACCTAATTTTTCACCTCTTTTTTCACCCTGTTGAATTTTCATGATTTCTTCGTAAATGTTTTGTCAAGGTTTCATCGTAAATGATTTGTCATGATTTCATCGTATATGCTTTGCCATGATTTAATCGTAAATGATTTGTCATGACTTCATCGTAATGAGTGTAAATGACCCAAAAATAATGTTTAGGTGAAGAGGTGAGATTTCACCTAATTTTTCACCTCTTTTTTCACCCTGTTGAATTTTCATGATTTCTTCGTAAATGTTTTGTCAAGGTTTCATCGTAAATGATTTGTCATGACTTCTTCGTATATGTTTTGTCATGACTTCTTCGTAAATGATTTGTCAAAACTTCTTCGTATATGTTTTGTCAAGACTTCATCGTAAATGATTTGTCATGACTTCTTCGTATATGTTTTGTCGAAACTTCATCGTATATGCTTTGTCAAACATGAACGTAAATGTTTTGTCGAAACTTCATCGTATATGCTTTGTCAAACATGAACGTAAATGATTTGTCAAACATGAACGTATATGTTTTGTCATGACTTCATCGTAAATGTTTTGTCATGACTTCTTCGTAAATGATTTGTCATGACTTCTTCGTATATGTTTTGTCATGACTTCTTCGTATATGTTTTGTCATGACTTCTTCGTAATGAGTGTAAATGATTTCATATGATTGTTTCCCTCGAAAAACCGAGAGAAGAGATTCCATATGAAAATCGCAAGAATTTGGCTCCTGGTTTGAAATATTATTATGTTCATAGACTTCATCGTAAATGTTTTGTCAAGACTTCTTCGTATATGTTTTGTCATGACTTCTTCGTAAATGATTTGTCATGACTTCTTCGTATATGTTTTGTCAAGACTTCATCGTAAATGATTTGTCATGACTTCTTCGTATATGTTTTGTCGAAACTTCATCGTATATGCTTTGTCAAACATGAACGTAAATGTTTTGTCGAAACTTCATCGTATATGCTTTGTCAAACATGAACGTAAATGATTTGTCAAACATGAACGTATATGTTTTGTCATGACTTCATCGTAAATGTTTTGTCATGACTTCTTCGTAAATGATTTGTCATGACTTCTTCGTATATGTTTTGTCATGACTTCTTCGTATATGTTTTGTCATGACTTCTTCGTAATGAGTGTAAATGATTTCATATGATTGTTTCCCTCGAAAAACCGAGAGAAGAGATTCCATATGAAAATCGCAAGAATTTGGCTCCTGGTTTGAAATATTATTATGTTCATAGACTTCATCGTAAATGTTTTGTCAAGACTTCTTCGTATATGTTTTGTCATGACTTCATCGTAAATGTTTTGTCATGACTTCTTCGTATATGTTTTGTCATGACTTCATCGTAAATGTTTTGTCAAGACTTCTTCGTATATGTTTTGTGAAGAATATAACAACCACCTGAATTCAGACGGTTGCTTTTTATACAAAATTCACACAGGAAAATTCTTGAGTTTTGGTTGAAAGAATACGGTCAAGCCAAAAGTGGCTCGACCTCAAAACAAACATTTTATGATCTTACTAAGGCGTTATGAATGAATTCAAAGGTATTTGCATACATCCTGACCTCGTTCATTTTGTTGCTGAATGGTGCTCTGTAAAGTATGCATTTTATGTCAAAGATATTATGGACTCCATAGATAAGAAAGTTCATGAGAAGTTAGATGAAGAAGAACTCGAAGATACAGTAGAGAATGTAAAAACAAGCATTTTATGATCTTACTAAGGCGTTATGAATGAATTCAAAGGTATTTGCATACATCCTGACCTCGTTCATTTTGTTGCTGAATTCAGCAAAAATAATGTTTAGGGTAGATGGTTTTTAGGTGTCACTACGTCACCATGTCACCAGGTTAATTAACTTCTCTTAAAATTACTGACAACATGACATTTTGACAACAGTCCAGGAAATATATTTTATCGTATATGTTTTGTCATGATTTTATCGTATATGCTTTGTCATGATTTTATCGTAATGAACGTAAATGTTTTGTCATGATTTCATCGTATATGCTTTGTCATGACCTCATCGTAATGAGTGTAAATGTTTTGTCATGATTTCATCGTATATGTTTTGTCATGATTTTATCGTATATGCTTTGTCATGATTTCATCGTATATGCTTTGTCATGACTTCATCGTAATGAGCGTAAATGATCCAAAAATAATGTTTACGTTCATGTTTTCAGGTTATTCAATAATTAATTATTTTTGAAGAACTGAAGGTGTCACTATGTCACCATGTCACCAGGTTATTTAACTTCTCTGAAAAAATGAGACAACATGACATTTTGACAACACAGCAGGGGAAGGCAGTTATGAATTATTTTTGAAGAACTGAAGGTGTCACTATGTCACCATGTCACCAGGTTATTTAACTTCTCTGAAAAAATGAGACAACATGACATTTTGACAACAACACAGGAAATAAATGTTTACGTAAATGTTTTGTCAAGATTTCTTCGTATATGTTTTGTCATGATTTCATCGTATATGCTTTGTCATGACTTCTTCATCGTAATGAACGTAAATGACCCAAAAATAATGTTTAGGTGAAGAGGTGAGATCTCACCTCTTTTCTCACCTCATTGAATTTTCATGATTTCTTCATCGTAATGAGCGTATATGCTTAGTCATGATTTCATCGTATATGCTTTGTCAAGACTTCATCGTAATGAGCGTAAATGACCCAAAAATAATGTTTAGGTGAAGAGGTGAGATCTCACCTCTTTTCTCACCTCTTTTCTCACCTCATTGAATTTTCATGATTTCTTCATCGTAATGAGCGTATATGCTTTGTCATGATTTCATCGTATATGCTTTGTCATGACTTCATCGTAATGAACGTAAATGATTTGTCAAAACTTCATCGTATATGCTTTGTCAAGACTTCTTCATCGTAATGAGCGTAAATGTTTTGTCATGATTTCATCGTATATGTTTTGTCAAACATGAACGTAAATGATTTGTCAAGATTTCTTCGTATATGCTTTGTCATGACTTCTTCATCGTAATGAACGTATATGCTTTGTCATGACTTCTTCATCGTAATGAACGTATATGCTTTGTCAAGACTTCTTCATCGTAATGAGCGTAAATGTTTTGTCATGATTTCATCGTATATGTTTTGTCAAACATGAACGTAAATGATTTGTCAAGATTTCTTCGTATATGCTTTGTCATGACTTCTTCATCGTAATGAACGTATATGCTTTGTCATGACTTCTTCATCGTAATGAACGTATATGCTTTGTCAAGACTTCTTCATCG